ACAGAAATGCGATTGTACAATATACTGCCCGTTATATTTTTGCTTATCTTTGTCTCGATATTCATTTCGTGTCTTTTAGTACATTTAATACTTTTCTTGAAAGAGCTATTATTCTAGAACTGCGCACACTCCCGTGGATGTAAGTAAAAACGCTGTCTCTTGCATTTTTCAAGCAATTAATTTGTTCCATAGGCGACATTTTGTACGAAGGAGTAAGACTAACCATTATATATTGCGATTTGCATCGTAATTGTAGCTGAAAAGTTGCAATTTTAATCCCCTTTGTTTCATGTAAACTATTATAACTTTGTTTTCAGTTGATTGCAATTGATCGGTGATTACCTTGCTATGGTTACGTTTAGTCAGTGAGCCGTGCGTGATCAACTTGCCGCTCTAGAGTCGTTTTAAATCATACTATTATTGGCATTGTGATCGTGACTTTACGACGTTAACAATTTCGACAAGTATTCTAAGTTACATTTCAAATATCGCATTTCAGATGTCGTATTTCTGGCCAAATCTTACGTAACAGTGAATATATATTGAAATACCGATATTATTATATTTTGTTATAAAATTGTAAGATGTCACAACGCGATAATATGATTACAAACACTGTTACTCTTTCGGTGCAAATCGGTCTTCAAGGTATTGGGTTTTGGCCTAATACGCCTTGCGCCTTGTTGTTTCGGTGTTTTTGGATATTAACTATCGGTATAGTACAGACTTTCCAATATTGGTGGATTATTATTCACTTAAGAACCGACAATATGTCGTACTTGATGGATAGTTTAAGTGTCACCATAGAGTACAGCGTGATGTCCCTGAAACTGATTATTTTATGGTTCAATAGCCGGTAAGAAAATATTTTCCATGCAGTTAAAAATGCAATAAAAAATGGAAATCAAGTTTATTCAGATCATTTTTACAAAGTCATGATTCTCATAGCACTATCTTTTCTCTCTTAAGTAGAGAAAAAATTATGTCTTCCTGTATCTATTTTTTAATAAAATTTCTAATTGATTTGAAATATATAGGAAAGAAGATGTATTTAATCCAGACTTGAATACAGTCTTTATTAGTTAATTTAGAGAATATAAACATCATCCTCTAACTGTAATAATATATAGGTGAAGCTAAATTTACCAAATTACATTTTTCGTCATATTTTATATATATTACTTCATTTATTATCAAATGTACATTGGAAGATCAGATTTGTTTCCTTTCCAGAACACTTTTTCCAGAATTCTTTTCCATCTTATTGTGTTCCTACTTACTGTTAACTGTTTATCTATACACCTGGATAGAATAAACTGCCGCAGTATATTTCATGACGTCCTAGCTGCGATGGCTGCAGACTGGAGGGAAGCCACCAGCAACGAAATACACATCATGATGAATAAGGCAAATCTGTCGCGACGCTTTTCCAATGTTATCATCGGGCTTCATTCGGTAGCGGTAATGTGCTTCGGTATTGAGGTGCTCGCATCCCATACCGACAATTACGATACCGATTATGGAATCGAGACGCCTGTTCGCGCGTTCACACTGAAGCTGCAACTCCCGTCACAATGCAACGAATCGCCGCTGTACGAGCTTGTTATGAGTCTGGAGTTCTTTCATCAATTGGCAGCTGCCATTGCGAACGCCATATTTAACAGTCTGCTCATCACGTTGGTGAGTGCAATATACGATAGAAAGATCCTCTTTCGATATTTTTAGACTTATACTTAGGCGATATTGCATGATGATCAGTTGCTGTATTTTTCACATAACATTTGTACTTTTATTTATTAACATTATGCTAACAGAATATATGTATATTATATGTAGAGGAGCGTAGGAAATTGCAAGTATCTAAGAATAACTTAAATAAAGCCGGTGATTATTTACTAATTACAAACGTCTTTATTAAAAAAAAATGCTCTAAGTCTAGTTATTTGGCTTTAAAATGCAATAATTAACGTTCATTATTGTGTTGTATATAATATTAATGTTATAGTGTATATATTGTGTATATATTTCTACACAATTATATTTAATAATTAACGTATAATGTATAATTATATACATTAATTAACGTTCATTACTTGTATTTAAAATTTAATAATTAACGTTCAAAATTTAACAACAAACAAAATCCTTGTCATTCGAAGTTATTCGTTGCCACACGGGGCAATGGCAAATTAAGTTTGATTTTTTTTTAAATTATTTTTATATTAATATTATATTGATAACATATAAATGTTAACTATTTGAGTTTATAGTCAATATCCTTTTAAAAAATTATTTAATTGAGTAACAATCATCAATTTAATTTTTTTAATATTCGTAATATTCTTACTCTCCCCTGTATCAAAAACGTCGAAAACATGATATTTATCTTAAACGATGTATGTGTTCTATAGTTTCGGGTTGTATGGTTAGATTAATCTTAATTGACAGCACTACACTGAAAGAAAAGATTGGCTATTGCAGCAAATTAGATGATAAAATATGGCATAGCATTTTTATTTGGCTGCAGAATCCAAACTTTCCTTTCATTGTAGTGCTGTCAATTTATTTTGTGTACCACATGGTTAGCAACTATTATGATAGTGTGGAACCATTTTCTGTTTATTTATATCACGGTTTTATAGAAATACGTTTTCAGATTCTTCATACGAGCGGTCAGATAGAGATTTTGTGTGATACATTAAGCAATATCTCTCCCAAAATGAACAATCAACAACTAAATTTCTGTATAAAGGAAGTGATTGGCAAGCATCAGAAGATCATCACTTTTTCAGACAAAATTGACAAAATCTTCTCTTACATAGCGCTAATTCAATTCATGTCGAGCATACTGTTAACCTGCTGCTTAGGATTCACGGTCGTAACAGTAAGTAATCCTTTGCCAAAAGTAAAGAGTACAAAGAATGTTCATTTTGCAACGATAATTATTTATATCGCGATTTGATGTTGTAGTCGATCAACACGATGAAAGATTCGGATACGATCGATAACACGGCATTAATAAAAGCTATAGTGTTTTATATGGCTGCTACGGTGGAGGCGTTTACTTTCTGCTTTTGCGGAGAATATCTCACTGCCAAGGTCGGAACAATCGAGATCTTTCCGCTTGATTCTCTTTGTAGAGGCGTCAATTTACGCGATTCGGCTATACATTGTGATTTTAAATAATGATTTTAAATAATGATTTTTAATAATGACAATTGCGTCTTTTTTTATGGAGAACATACAAGTATTTAAAGAAGAAGTTAAATCTTCTTTTTCTTTTTTTTTTCAATGCGAAAAGAAAAATCGACATTTTTTTTTCAATGTAAATATGTTGCAATGCCCTCATAATAATTGGATGAATTTGTATAATATATATTGTGTCATGTGCAAGTTTCATTAAACAAACGTCTTGCTTTTACGTATTAATTAATTATTATTTAAATAATCATTATTACTTATATTATTTAAATCATAATTACTTAAATTAATGTCATTGATACAATAATTTGCCTTAATTATCTATTTAGCGAGAATACATTTTTATGGTAATTGAGGTATACGATGATTTCTTTATCAAACTCTATATCAGAATTGTTTTTTTTATAATATAAAAAAAACTTTTATGTTGATTTTTTAATCATTTATCTCACTGACAACACAACTTTTTGCAACACTTTTCTTCAGAGCAAAATGATCGGCGATGCAGCGTACAAATCAGTTTGGTACGACTTTACACCCAAAGAGAGTAAGCTCGTCCTGCTTATAATATTGAGATCACAAAGAAGACTTACCATTACGGCTGGAAATATGATGGACTTGTCACTAGAGGGATTCACGAGTGTAAGATTCCAATAGTGAATTTTTTGTTAATAAAGACTTCCTATTGATGGATCAATTGATCGCTGATGTCATTCCAAACGATAGCGATGTATTTTAATTATTAAGCGATTTTATAATTATACGATTTTTTAACTGATTGTGAAATATGTCTTTTTTAATAGAAACATTTGACTTATACATTTAAATAGTTTGTTTATTTATAAATTTATTTTTATTGATTTTTTGTTGTATTGTTATATATTATTATTCTTATATCATTGTATTATTATGTTATTATTATTTGGTATAATTTTTCTAGATTTTAAAGGCCTCTGTTTCGTATGTGTCAGTATTGCACGCGATGTATTGAAGTTCAAAGCCGAGCCATCTAATGTCTAGATGGTCATTACATGTTGCTAAAGATATTAGGAGTTTCTCTTAACGATTTTTTCTTGACAACTTTTGTGATGCGTGTGAATTTGCATGATAATAATTATGTAAATTAAATGTAGCATAATGTATCAATTTACCTTCCACATTTTATAATAAAGTATTTTAGATTTCCATGATCACTACTTGCATTACATGCATTATATATTCGAACCTCTATATTTTCTTTTAACCTTTGTATTTCATTACAAAAATAATTGAACATTTTGTGCATTTACATAAATTCTTTCTGCTATATATTTTTAAAAATATAATAATTTTTTATTTGATGAAAAATATTTATATGACCGTATCATCCAACTTACTTTTCATATTCTTGCTTGTCTTTACTATATTGTTCGTTTTATGTCTCAGTCACGATGAATTTTTTCTCAGCGAGCGTCGAGCAATTTTCAGTAAGCTTCATGCATTTTTAAAGTAAGTGACTCAGCAAATTAGCGACTCTATCGTTGGAAAACTCGATGCTTTTAACTGGGCAGAAAAAAATTCGAGATAGATCGCTTTTTCTACACGTCACATTTTCCTCTCAAGTCTATAATCTAACAAATTGGTGAGCATTCAGTTTCAATTTAATTTCATTTCTGTGAAGTATGGATAATTACGATTGATCGTCAGTTCATTATTATGTTTTATCTCTCTCTTCCCATCGTTTTTACTTTTTGCTATATCCGATGTTATTATGCCTAAGAGATTTACACGGTTCGGAGATAGTCTTTTTCAAAAGAAACATGTTGAAGTTACGCGAAGATACGATAGGACGCGCAAGCACTATCAGCCTGTCGGTCGAAGCGGGTTTACGTTTTATCGGAATGTGGCCACATTGTGTATATTCGAATATCAATTGGTGGACTTATATCATTTCGGTGGCAATAATGCAATACTTTCAGTATGCGTATATTCTGGCACACTTCGACATCAGCGATCTCTCGGTTTTTGTAGATGGCCTGAGCATCACATTCGGCTACAGTCTGTCGTTCTTCAAACTGATCAATCTGTGGTTCAATCGTCGGTAAGATTAACGCTTAACGGTTTCTGTAGACAAGGCGAGTGATCGACCATGCCTTCATTTCATTTTAATTTCATTTTTATCTTGCGCGAATGATATTGGATATAAGGAATGTTCTGTAGAAAGTTGTTCGCCATTCTGGATACAATGGATAAAGACTGGAGCGACGGGATCGCAATCAATTCGGACGTGTCCACAATGATCAGATACGCCAACTGGTCGCGTCAATGCTCCAACATAATGATCACTACGAATGCATTAGCCGTGTTCTTTTATGTAATCGGAGGTTTAATACGGTCAATAATTCAAAAGAACGATGGTTCAACTCGCGAGCTGCCCATCAAAATGGAATTTCCTTTTAAGGTTGACAATTCCCCGATTTTTGAACTGATATTGATACTTCAATTCTTTCATGATTTATCTGTAGCTTGTATCATCGCTATGCTGAACGCTTTGCTCGTTACGCTGGTAAGATTTCATTGTATTTCATGATTTAGTTGGTTCGAAGGTTATCAAAATTTTGTTGAATTCATAAAAGACATAAGTAATTACTTTTATATTATATCTTGCATTTAATTATAAATAAAGACATATATAAATATGTATACAGGGTGGGGCATTTTAATCGCCCCAGGCGAATATCTCAGAAACTAAGAGAAGTACAAGAAAAAGTTTTATATGGAAGTTATAAGTTTTCTTGGGGGAAAGAAGGTGGAAATAACGGATTTTGGATAGGAGGCACTACTAAGGTCAGGGTCAACATGAATTTTTTAAATGGAACCCTCAATTTTTTATTGCATATTCTTGTAGCACACCTCGAGAGCTTTCAAAAACTATGAAAAAGGCTATAATAAAATATTTTTTCATGAAGCACTTTTCGAGTTATAAGGTTTGCATGTTACAGTATCGATGGCATTAGCGTTACCCAAGGTGTCCGACCGACGACTAAAACATCTTGAATGTTGTTCAGGATCATGTCTTGGATAACATTTGTCAAGATCAAGGCCATTGGAGATTGTACTTCTTATTTTCATTTTTACGTAGAAACGAATTTTTAATGCAAAAATGAAAATTAGAGGAACAACCTCCAATGACTTTGATGGTGACAAATGTTATTCAGGTCGTGATCCTGAACACATTCAAAAGATTTTAGCCGTCGGTTGGACACCTTGGGTAATGTTATTGCCGGCGAAACTATAACATTCCAGACTTATAACTCGAAAAGTACTTCATGAAAAAATATTTTATTATAGCGTTTTGGAGAGCTCTCGAGATGTACTACAGAATATGCAGTAAAAATTGGGGTTTCCATTTAAAAAATTCATGTTGACTCTGATCTGATCTTGGTAGTGCCCCTTATGTCCACCTTCTTTCCCCTAAAAAAACCTACAACTTTCATATAAAACTTTTTCTTGTATCTCTTTTATTTTCTGAGATATTCGCCTGGGGCGATTAAAATGCCCCACCCTTATATGTGTATACGTATAATTTTTTTCTTTTTGTGTTATCTAATTCTTTGTTTGAAAACTCAATTGGAATTGGAAATTAATTGTATTAGTTTTTGGCATATTTATGAAAGACAATATTATTATTATATTCCATAATTTTTTATACTAGATTGTTAGTTTTTTGTCCTTTTAGTGGCATTGGAATCATGTGTTCCAACAAATACTATAGTTTTTTATTTTTGAATGTAATTTTATGTGTATAACTTTTCAGATTTTTTGTGGAGATAGTGATACTGCTGTAAAGTGTCTATAAAACTGAAGATGTTTTTTAGGTACTACACGTAAGTGGTCAAATTGATATTATGCTGCAAGGATTCATGGAAATTTCCTCTAAACATACATCAAAATCTTCTCTGGCTGCTATTAAAGATTTAGTTAATAGACATCAGAGAATCATCGATTTGTCAGACGATATTGAAGACCTTTTCTCAAACATCGCATTGTTGCAATTTATCTGGAATACTTTGGTCATCTGTTGCATAGGCTTTGTGATTGTAATAGTAAGTTATAATTTTATACATTTTTTTGTGTTATAATTCTTTCCGTCTCTTTCTCTCTCTTTTTTTCTTTCTCTCTCAGAATTTTTTAATTTATCTGGATAATTTTATAATACTTTAGAAAAATTTTTAGATTTTCTTATACAGATTAGAAAACTTGGAAAGTGCCAAGAAAGTCTACATCTCTTTTCTAAAATTTTTCATATATGTGAATTCTGAAATATTCTAAGATTTTTAAGATTTTTCATCTTGTAATTTTTTATGAAATTTTATAAAATCTGAAAAGTCTGAGGGATTCTTTCAGAAATTATAGGATGACAAATCTTAAAAGTTCTAGAATATTTCAAAAATTATATATATGGAAAATTCTAAGAAAAGATGTATACTTTCTCAGTACTTTTGAAGAGTATTTCAATTCGTATAAAAATTCTAAAAAAAATTTTTTCCAAGGAAGATATAAAATGCTTACATGTTTATAAATTATGCCCTATACATAAGTATTATACACATATTGCAGTCTATCGGTACGGAAGAAGGCTCTACGATGATAACAAAATCTCTCATTTTTTACGTTGCGATAACTCTCGAGGCATTTGTTTTTTGCTACGCTGGAGAATATCTCAGTGCCAAGGTCAGCGTAAAGGAGCGTAATGGTAGCGTCGTAGAAATTCTTGAAACTTCGCGTTAATTTCCGAAAGAAATTTATTATTAGACGCGATTAATCGTGGAAGCTTGTTTGCCATTGCAGAGTAAATCCATCAGCGATGCTGCGTACGAGTGCCTGTGGTACGATCTAACGCCCAGCGAGTGTCGCATCTTGATGTTCCTTATGTTGAGATCACAGAAACGGTTAACCATCACTGCAGGCAAGATAACTGATCTGTCCTTGGAAGGTTTCACAACCGTGAGTTTACTTGAACTATGAGAGAACTTTCGTCGTTCGAACTAAAACAAAAATTTTAATTTGCTTAATTGCCAGATTATGAAATCGTCTGCGTCGTATATATCCGTATTGAGTGCGCTATATTAAAAAAGAATGATGAATTGCATTTGGGCACTGGTGAGTCTTTTAGTATGATAGAATATTAAATTAAACTTATTTCTACAATAACAAACTGATATTTCTTAAAGGAAAGGACGCTATATGATTTCTATGCAACGTGACAGGGATTATAGTTTTAGCCAAATCTTCAATTCTCCGTTGAGCGGACTGTTCGTATATATACATATATTAGTACAAAGAAATTTCGCAAAAAGTATTTTGTATTTAACTATATACTCTGCAGAGGTCTAATTTTTGAATAATATGATTTTATTTACATGTGAAAAAGAGAAATGATACTACCACTTACTTATAAAATGCTATCATCGAGAATAATCTAGCTTTCATGCGCATATTCAATATCAAATTCTCCACTTTCCTTTTCCATATTATCTTTATTTTCTGCCTATAGACACATTAACATTTTTTTTCGTAATAATGCACATTTTTTTGTAGAATGTAGAGACGCTTGTAGAAATAATTATCTTCGCATCTAAAAGGTTTTATTTCTTCGGCAATTATCAAGGAATATTACATGAGCTATTTTAGAGGAAAAGTGGACGCGTTTTGTTTTTCATTCGGTGTACTTATAAGCTTTCAAGAAATAATGGGATTTGAATAGTCGGCGTATAATTATGATTGATCGAGGGAGGACCTGCGCTTTATCGTCTCTCTCCATGATTATTCGGAGAGCGACGTTTTCATTGCGCATTTTACTGGCCTAGGTTTACGTTCGCTACGGTGCATTGACATCTCGATAGCCATCAGTTCGTAACGTACAGTGATTGTTGCAGAACGATGAAGCGCACAAGTACCATCAGTCGCCCAGTCGAAATTGGCCTCCGTTTCATCGGTATGTGGCCGGATTCGGCCTACGCGACTCTTTATTGGTTATTTTATATGGCAACGATGGTGATAGTGCAGTATTATCAGTATACATATGTTTTTACGCATTTTGATCTGAGTGATATCTCGCTCCTCATGGACTGTCTCGGTCTTACTCTGGCGTACACTCTCGCCTTTCTCAAGCTCTTTGTCTTATGGTGGAACCGCCGGTAAGACGTATTTTGTTGTAGATGTAACTGAAAACATATAATAGCGATTTCGACAATAGGCTACATCACCGTTGTTAATGAATAATTTTGATGAAACAAATGAAGATCGAATTTATCATTAGTACCACGGCTGGTATTTATAGTTAGTTTGTAAATTTAAGATCGTCTTAAGATGTCATAAACCAATCAGAGAGCCGTATTAACATTATAAGACATTACTTAAGACGGTCTTGAAATGAGAACGGACTATGAATACAGAGCATATCAGAGAATATCAATGTCTTAAGACATTAGGACAGCTTTGTAATAAGAGCGGACTATAAATCGATCCATGTCTAAATAAAATCAAATGTATTTAAATGTTCCTTCTGTCTCTTTCTTTGAAGAAATTTAATAATATGTACAATACTCGATATATAAGCTGCTTCCTGCAGGACATTTTATTATATTGTAAAGACGATGAATGAAGATTGGAAAGAGTAATAATTCGTATGAGTCCACGATGATAAGCGTAGCGGATCTGTCGCATCGCTGCACAAACGTGATGATTAGTATCAATGCCTTAGCTGCCTTTTTCCTTTCAATTGGCGAGCACTTGCTTCAATCGATGGGCGACATCAATGGAGTTGATAATAATTCTCGGGAACTTCCTATAAAAATGGAGTTTCCTTTCGATGTCAGTGAATCTCCTATTTTTGAGTGCTTTTTAATCGGGCAATTCCTTTACGAATTAGTGTTGGCTTCTATAGTTGGTATGGTGAATGCGTTACTCGTCTCATTGGTGAGTTTAAGATTTCCTTTTGAAGCTATTTTTACAATAATTAACATATGTATCTATTCTTTATCTAGTTTTATTACTTACAATTATAATAATAGTATCCTGCTTGTGGTTTGACGTTTTAATTAATATAATTAATAATAAAATAAAGTTGTTCTTTAACTTTTAATTGTTCCAATTTGTAGATACTTCATGTAAGCGGACAGATTGACATTATGCAACAAGATATAAATGAAATTTCTAACAGCAAATACAATCCCAGCTTATCCTTAATTGTTATCAAAGGCCTTATTTGCAAACACCAAAAGATTATTACTTTGTCAGAAAATATTGAAAATTTATATACTTATATTGCATTAATGCAACTTTTATGGAATACTTTGGTCATCTGCTGCACTGGTTTTGTGATTATAATCGTGAGTAATAGCGCTGTGGACGTTATTCTGCGCTTTCAATGAAGAATGTTTCCTTGTTCTATTGCAGACCATTGGTACCAACGCTAGTGCAACAACTTCAATCAAATCTGTGAGTTTTTATATTGCAATTACTCTAGAAGTTTTCATACTCTGCTTTGCCGGAGAATTTTTGAGCGCCAAGGTTTGTGAGAATTTCATAAATAAAAAATTATTAACTTTATTCTATTAATTTAAAAAGTTAATTTATATTAATAAATATTAAAAATTTTATTAATAATATTAACAAATATTAAAAGATATGTATTTTGACCTACGGAAACCGTTTTAAAAGTCGTCGATTTTTTGTCTATTGTATCTCAATATCTGAAATTGAATTTATTCTATTTTTAGAGTAGGTCAATTAGCGATGCGGTTTATGAGTCACTTTGGTACAATATGCCACCGACAAACAGCCGTATTTTATTGTTTATGATATTAAGATCGCAAAAACGATTGACGATCACTGCAGGAAAAGTTGTTGATTTAACTTTGGAAGGATTTACAAACGTAAGATATAATATTAAATGAGAATAACATTAAATATAAATGTTACATTCTTTGATATGCTGTATTATACATTTCTTACTTTATTTTTATGCAACCTTTAGATTATGAAGGCATCAGCTTCTTACGTATCTATATTAAATGCGATGTATTAAGTTCAGAATGACGTCTGTTGCTATATATGTATATTCAATGTTGCCTTAGCTGCAATAATTTTATCAAGCAATTGTTATTCTTGGCCAAACAATTATATAAGTTACAAGAGAAGATGTAAGATTACTTCAATATAAGTTATCCTTTATGAATTCTGTGAATAATTATTTTTCTATGGTAACTATATAATCTATTTTAAACATTTCTGTGAAATGCTAATTCCTTTGTATCAATTCTTTGTTTTAATATATTGTTACTAAATATTTCAATTTTAAAAAGGTTTAAAAAAATTTCAGATTTAAAAAAAGGTGTAAGATAATGAACTTTATAATACCTTCAAAAGTTAATCCACGTTTATAATACTGTATGTTTATAAATTTTTTCCAAATTCTAGCTGTAGCACTCACTGATCTTTCGATTTATATATGTATCTTTTTTTATTAATATAAATATTATATATAATAATTAATAAAACAATATATATGTATATACTGTTATACTTTACTTTTGTAATAATCTTCCGTACATCTAATTTCATTTATCGGAAAAATTAAACTTTTTGCGCATATCTGTGACATACACGTACCATATTTGTGTATTATAACGTTTTTTGTTTTGTATTTTTAAATAGAATTATTTGCTATTGTTCTTTTTTAGTCCTTTAAAAAGTTGGTCATAATACTTATGTCTTTTAACTTTTTATCGATGTTGTAAAAAAATCTATCAAAAAACTTTGGTATCAATCCTTCTTCGCTCGTGGAGATTCAATATCTTTTTGAAAATCGGTAATGAAAGCGGTGCAGTTCATACAATTGAAATAACTTACATTTCTATCATAGCCTTTTAATTCAGAAGAATACGTCGAAAAAGTTTGTTTTTTTCTCGACGGTCGTAATTTTAGAGGTCTTCATTTTTACTTGAAATAGAAGCGGAATATATGAGGAGAAAAACGGAATTAGTGAGATCGGTATATTACGACCACATAATAGCTACAATAAACTGTTGTTTTTCATCTTTCGTGTTCGGTAGACATCAAGTCTTTGCGCATTTTTTTTTTTTGATGGATATAGATGGACATAAAAATGCCATTCGAGACAGAAACGCAGTTTCAAAGCAATTACCTGTTATTGTGCACTATACTAAAGTGTTCACTAATTCAGAAGAAGTGAACATTATCATATTTTTTGTCTAATCGGTTCAGCTATAAGCTTGCATTACATAATGCATTGAGAACGTTCGAGAATATAATTACAATTGATTCACGTTTAGAGCATCTTGCGCTTTACGGTCTTTCAACTGCGATTATTTAACAGTTTAGCCATTACGTGAAGCACATTGGACAATACGCAAGTGTTTTTCACGCAATAATATCTCCGTTCGTTGACTTTTTAATGTACGTTGGTTAACAAAGAGCAATGAAGCGGGCAAATACTATTAGTCTCTCAGTTGAGATCGGCCTCCGTTTCATCGGCATGTGGCCGGATTCGGCTTATCCAAATCTTTATTGGTTTAGCTACATGACAACAATAGCAATAGTGCAATATTACCAATACACGTACATATTTGTACACTTTGACTTGAACGATCTTTGGCTTCTCATGGACTGTCTTGGTCTTACCCTAGCATACAGCCTCGCTTTTCTCAAGCTTTTTGTTCTATGGTGGAATCGTCGGTAAGATATATCCCTTTGTGAAACTGATATAGAATGTATCTATATCTAATAAAATTATGTTGACATAATCTGAATAAGGCGAATATGTGGGTGAAAAATATGTTATTGCACCTTAAATAAAATCAAGAATGAATGTTTTTTGTGATTACATTATACATGAATATGTCCTGCAGGATATTTTATCATATTGTGAAGGCGATAGATAAAGATTGGAGTGAGTGTGTTATTAATGATTCGTATAAATCTACGATGGTGACCATGGCAGATCTGTCGCGCCGTTTTGCTAATGTATCTTTCAGTATTTATGCCTTCTCTGCTTTCTCTCTGTCAATTGGCGAGCATTTGCTTCAGTCGATGAATGATCAGTTCGGCAATAGTTCTCGAGAACTTCCTATAAAAATGGAATTTCCTTTCGACATTAGCAAATCACCGATTTTCGAATGTTTTTTAATTGGACAATTTCTTTATGATTTGTTGATAGCTTCTGTGGTTAATTTAATAAATGCATTACTTGTTGCATTGGTAAGTATACAATGAGATTCAAAGAAATTAAAATGCTTGTATGATAGCTCTTATCAGTCCGATGCGATCAGTTCAAATTAATATTGGCTATGTATCACTATGTATTACTTTGGATAATTAGATTATTTTATATAATTTATATGGATTATTTGTTCGGTAATTCGTATAGATTTATCTATGTAATATTTATAGATACTTCATGTGAGCGGTCAGATCGATATTATGCAACAAGACTTATTTGAAATTTCTAACAAAAAATACGATCGCAGTACATTTCTACCCGTTATCAAAAGTTTTATTTGCAATCATCAAAAGATTATTACTTTATCAGAAAATATTGAAAATTTGTATACCTACATTGCGCTGATGCAAGTTCTGTGGAACACGTTGGTTATGTGTTGTACTGGTTTTGTAATTATAATTGTGAGTAATGTTGTTCATTTCTTCATATTTTAGATAATGACGTTCTTGTCTTATTGCAGATCGTTCGTAGTGGAGAAGATACAACAAATTTGATTAAATCAGTGAGCTATTACATTACAATAATACTAGAGGTTTTTGTATTTTGCTTTGTAGGAGAATTTTTAAGTGCCAAAGTGTGTAAAAACATTTTTACTATTTTTTTAGTATTTTAGATATACATTATGAATTTTTTTATTTATGTTGCGTCAAACATTAATTGATATAATATGTATTAGGTATTTTCTTCCAAAACTATTTTTGCTATTAGAAGATTTGAAACATGGAAATCGACATCAACAAAAAATATTTTTAATTAATTATTATTCGGAACGTTTTAAATATTTTAAGCATTACTTTGAACATTTTAAATTTCATCCTGTTTCCAGAGCAAGTCGATTAGCAACGCAGTGTATGAGGCACTTTGGTATAATATGCCGCCAAGCGACAGTCGCATTATGCTGTTTATGATATTAAGATGTCAGAAAAGATTGACAATCACTGCAGGAAGATTTATAGATTTGACTTTAGAAGGATTCACAAGTGTGAGACGTTATGCTATAAATGAAATTTTTGTTTAATATAATTTCTTATATAATTTTATCAATTGTGAATAATCTTTTTTTAGATTGTAAAGGCTTCTGTCTCCTATATATCAGTATTAAATGCGATGTACTAAAATCAAAAGGTGTTAGACAATTAAAACATCTCAATCTGAATAGTTTCATTAGAGGAAGGTCGCCGATACCGATATACCAGTTTGTTTTTAGACAATATTTCTTAAACAAGAGGTAAAAATAAATCTTTAAATACATAAATACAAATTAAAAAGTGTCTTCTATCAGATAATATAAGCAGTTTTTATAATACCATTTGTAATTTTGCAATATTTAATTTTTTCGTAAGCAAAAATGAGCGTTTGATAAAATGGGCTCCAAAACTGACATAGTGGGCTGTAATATAATATATGCTGCATATTCCTATTATTTTTCTTTTACAGAAATCATCCTTTTATTATAAAATAGTTACAAGTGAATGTGTATAAAATTTTCCAGAATCTTTTCACTTCGATATAAAACATTTTTTTGAATTATATGGGTATTTACTTTTTGCTGTGTTCTGCACGATGCAAATATGTAACACGATAATTTTTCAACTTCAAATTTTCCCATATATGTACCATCACTTTTAGTTTCGATAGAGTTATTTGACACTATAAAGCAACATTACAAAAGCATTGTTCGTTTTGTCTCTTGGAAGCTGCTCGGGATCGCTCCGAACGAACCTAGCGTACTTGAAATCGTAACGATGAATATCGGACGTCGTATAACGGATGTCGTACGTAGTGTGAATTCTATGTTTCAAATACGCTGAGTTCGTACGGAGCGATCCCGAGCAACTCCCGAGAGACAAAACGAACAATGCTATTGATTAAGTTAGCTCATGATTTGTTTTACAGACAGGTGTGTCGGTTTACGCTGCATCCCGATTTTATATTTAAAACTGTATTATGAAAAAACTAAGAAAGAAAATAATATAAATAAAACTGATTTAGGAAATTGTAAGCATTTAAAACAACATGATATTATTAATAGTATAATCCCTATTATTTAAATTACGCAATTTGCAAAAGAAAATCGTAAGAATTTTTTTGTAGCATTAATAGAATTTGTTTTTAGCTGATTTTGTATAGAAATAAGTTACAAATATACGAATTATGCGTTTAATTAACTAAACAGATCATGTTTTTACTAGTATTAATAAAGTACAATAGTTAATTTCTAAAAAGAAAGGGATGTCGTTTTAGAAAATCTATGTCAATATCGACGACTTTCCTCTAATAATTAGTCGTCATTATTGATGATTGAATGAGGTTGCACAAATTACAGTCATATAAAGTTATTTTAGTAAAAATTATTTTTTACGATTTTACAAAATTATTCTTTATTAATGACAATTAAGTGAATATGAAGTGGCTTTTTGTTTGAAGTTAAACTGTTATGTATTTGGAGAAGAAAAGGTATGACAATTTTTATTTTAACAATAATATATGTAACAATTGTTTTTATGATTCTGAAATATATCTTTATAGACAATTTTTGCTTTATAAAAATAAGATTTTATTTTAATTACCCAATTTCTTCTTTTCTATATATTAAAATACTGTATATTTATAATTAAATACAATTTACGTTTTTAAGAACTACTTATATTTATACATCGCACGTTGGCAATTTCATCTTTCTTGTCTTGTTATTTTACCGTTATTATCGGAATCACCTTTAGCTATAGAAGAAATCATAAGCGGAACAAAACATGAACTAATATAGTATATAAGTAAAAGGTAAAAATGATAGTAAAATTAGCCGAGATTAGTCGAGTAGAGATTCTCAGATATGTCAGATATTTTAGTATAATAAATTCTCTATTTTCCTCTTTCCCCTTACATTTAAAAGTCTCGCAAAGATTAACGTACGTTTTCATTTCTTCTTTCAATTCTTTTTCTGTTGGATATAACTGAGAAATATAAAATTTTTTTAGCCAAGTTAGAAATACATTTTTAAACCAATTATATACATCATACAACTTCTGAATTGTTGTTTCAGAAAGAAAAAGAACATCATCATTGTCTTTGCTTTCAATACCTGTGAACTTTCAAGAATTAATGCGATGAGTGCAATTACAATTGATCATTACGATCTGCGCTTCATCGTCTATGCTATGGTTATTATTCGGTATTATACTTTGCCATCATCACGCAAAGCATACGATGTTTAAGTGTGCTTTTTATACTTATGTATCTATATTAAATGCGATGTATTAAGTTCAAAATGACGTCTGTCAGTTACTATGTATATTCAATGTTGCCTTAGCTGTAATAATTTTATCAAGCAATTGTTATTCTTGGCCAAGCAATATTATATAAGTTACAAGAGAAAATGTAAGATTACTTCAATATAAGTTATCCTTTATAAATTCAGTGAATAATTATTTTTCTATGATAACTATATAATCTATTTTAAACATTTCTGTGAAATGTAAATTCTTTTGTATCAATTTTTTGTTTTAATATATTGTTACTAAATATTTCAGGCTTAAAAAGAGAAGGGGTACAATAATGTACTTTATAATACTATCAAAAGTTTATCTATTTTTATAATATTATATGTTTATAAATTTTTTCCAAATTCTAGCTGTAACACTCATTGATTTCTCGATTTATATATGTTTCTTTTTTTATTAATATAAATATATAATAATTATTAAAACAATATATATGTATATACACTGTTATACTTTACTTTTGTAATAATCTTCCATACATCTAATTTTATTTATCGGAAATATAAAACTTTTGCGCATACTGTGACATACACGTATTTGTATATTATAACGCTTTTGTTTTGCATATTTTAACAGAGTTTTTTGCTACTGTTCTCTTTTATTTCTTTAACAAATTGGATATAATACTTGTGTCTTCTAACTTCTTATCGATGTTGTGAAACAATCTATCAAAAAACTTTGGTATCAATCCTTTTTCGCTTGTGGAGATTCAAATATATCTCAATCAAAAGATATCAATCATATCTTTTTGAAAATTAGTGAATGAAAGCGGTGCAGTTTGTATAGTCAAAATAACTTACATTTCTACATCATAACCTTTTCTCGAGCCTTTTAATACAGAAGAATACGTCGATAAAGTTTGTTATTTTCTCCACTGTCGTAACTTTTAGAGGTCTTTGTTTTACTTGAAATAGAAACGAAATACACGAGGGGAAAAACGGAATTAGTGAGATCGGTATACTATGATCACATTTAATAGCTATAATAAACTGTTGTTTTTCATCTTTCGTGTCCGATAGACGTCAAGTCTTTGCGCATATTTTTTTGATGGATATAGATGAACAACATGAAACTGCCCCTCGAGACAGAAATGCAGTTTCAAAGCAATTACCTGCTATTGTGCACTATACTAAAGTGTTCACTAATTCAGAAGAAGTGGACATTATCATATTTTTTGTCTAATCGGTACAGCTGTAAGCTTGCATTATTTAATGCGATGAGAAGGTTCAAAATATAATTACAATTGATTCATAGTATCTTGTGCTTTACGGTCTTTCAACTGCGATTATTTAGTGGTTTAACCATTACGTGAAGCACATTGGATAATATGCAAGAGTTTTTCATGCACTGATGTCCGCGTTCGTTGATTTTTTAATGTATTTAGGTTAACAAAGAACAATGAAAAGTGGAAATACTATTAGTCTTTCAGTTGAGATCGGCCTCCGTTTCATCGGCATGTGGCCGGATTCGGCTTATCCGAATCTTTATTGGTTTAGTTATATGACAACAGTAGCAATAGTGCAATATTATCAATATACGTACATATTTGTACACTTTGACTTGAACGATCTTTGGCTTCTCATGGACTGTCTTAGTCTTACTCTAGGATACAGTCTCGCCTTTCTCAAGCTCCTTGTTCTATGGTGGAATCGTCGGTAAGATATATCCTTTTGTGAAACTGATACAGAATGTATCTATATCTAATGCTAATAAAATTATGTTGACTTAATCTTAATAAGGTGAATATGTGAGTGAAAAATATATTATTATATTTGGTATATTGCACCTTAAATAAAATCAGACATAAATAATTTTTTGTGATTATATTACATAAGAAGGAATATGTCCTGCAGGATATTTTATTATATTGTGAAGGCGATAGATGAAGATTGGAGTGAGTGTGTTATTAATGATTCGTATAAATCCACGATGGTGAGCATGGCAGATCTGTCGCGCCGTTTTGCTAATGTATCGTTCAGTATTTATGCCTTCTCTGCTTTCTTTCTGTCAATTGGCGAGCATTTGCTTCAGTCGATGAATGATCAGTTCGGCAATAGTTCTCGAGAACTTCCTATAAAAATGGAATTTCCTTTCGACGTTAGCAAATCACCAATTTTTGAATGTTTCTTAATTGGACAATTTCTTTATGATTTGTTGATAGCTTCTGTGGTTAATTTGATAAACGCATTACTTGTTGCATTGGTAAGTATATAATGCGATTCGAAGAAATTAAAATATTTGTATGATAGGTCTGTTATCCGATGCGATTAGTTCATATTAATATTGGCTATGTATCACTATGTATTACTTTGGATAATTAGATTATTTTATATAACTTGTATGGATATATTTATTCGGTAACTCTTATAGATTTATCTATATAATATTTATAGATACTTCATGTGAGCGGTCAGATCGATATTATGCAACAAGACTTATTTGAAATTTCTAACAAAAAATATGATCGCAGTACATTCCTACCTGTTATCAAAAGTCTCATTTGCAAGCATCAAAAGATTATTACTTTATCAGAAAATATTGAAAATTTGTATACCTACATTGCGCTGATGCAAGTTTTATGGAATACGTTGGTTATGTGTTGCACTGGCTTTGTGATTATAATTGTGAGTAGTCGATCATTTCTTCACGTTTCATTTCAGATAATAACATTTCTTTCATATCTTATTGCAGGTCGTTAGTAGCGGCGAAGATACAAGAAATTTGATTAAATCAGTGAGCTATTACTTTGCGATAATGCTAGAGGTTTTTGTATATTGCTTTGCAGGAGAATTTTTAAGTGCCAAAGTGTGTAAAAATATATTTGCTATTTTTTAAATATTTTAGGCATACATTATAAATTTTTTTGTTTATGTTGCATCGAACGTTAATTGTGTGACTATATATTATGTATTTTGTTTTAAAACTATTTTTACTATTAAAAGATATTGGAATATGGAAATTTACATCAACAAAATTTTAAGTTTATATTTAAGTTATAATTTAAGTTTATATTTTTAAGTTTATTATTACTTGGAACATTTTAAACATTTTAATCGTTACTTTGAACATTTTAAATTTCATCCTGTTTCCAGAGCAAGTCGATTAGCAACTCAGCGTACGAGGCACTTTGGTATAATATGCCGCCAAGCGACAGTCGCATTATACTGTTTATGATATTAAGATGTCAGAAGCGATTGACAATCACTGCAGGAAGATTTATGGATTTGACTTTAGAAGGATTCACAAGTGTAAGACAGTATACTATAAATGAAGTTTTTATTTAATGTAATTTCTTATATAATTTTATCAATTTTGAATAATCTTTTTTTTAGATTGTAAAAGCTTCTGTCTCCTATATATCAGTATTAAATGCGATGTACTAAAGTCAAAAAGGTGTTAGACAGTTAGAATATCTCAGTCTGAATAGTTTCATTAATAGTTAGTCGTCATTATTGTTGATTGAATAAGATTGCACAAATTACCAATCATATAAAATCATTTAGTAATAATTATATTTTTCGATTTCATAAAGTTATGCTTTATTAATGACAATTAATTGGATATATATGAAATGATTTCTTACTTAAAGTTATAAAAACCATTACGTATTTGGAGAAGAAAGAACCTGCAAATATGTATTTTAACAATGATATACGTAACATTTGTTTTCTATGATTATTAAATATATGTTTAGAAAATTTTTGCTTTATAAAAATAAGATTTTATTTTAATTACCCAATCTCTGTTTCGCTTTTTCTTTATATTAAAATGCTGTACATTTATAATTAAATATAAGTAAAAGGTGAATATGATAGTAAAATCAGTCACTTCTCAAATATGCCAGATATTTTACTACATGCCAGATATTTTAGTATAAAAATTCTCTATTTTTTTCTTTCTCCTTATATTTAAAAGTCTCGCAAAGATTAACATACGTTTTCATTTCTTCTTTCAATTCTTTTTCTGTTGGATATAGCTGAAATAAAAAATTTTTTTAGCCGAGCCAGAAATTCATTTTTAAAGCAGTTATATACATCATACAATTTCTGAATTGTTCTGTCTTAGAAGGAAAAAGGATATCATCATTGTTTTTGTTTTCAATATTTTGTGACCTTTCAAGAATTAATGCGATGAATGCAATTACAATTGATCGTTACGATCTGCGCTTCATCGTCTATGCTATGGTTATTATTTGGCATTATACTTTGCCATCATCACGCAAAGCATACGACATTTAATTGTGTTTTTTTATGCGTGTTGTGACGTTTTATACATTATTTTTAAGAAAATGATAAAACTCAGTCACTCAATCGAGATTGATCTCCGTTTTATCGGTATGTGGCCGACTTATCCAAATCTTTATTGATTCAGCTGACAACAGTGCAATAGTGTAATATTATCAATACGCATACATATTTGCACATTTTGATTTTAATAATCTTTGGTCACAGACTGTCTTCGTCTTCCTGTGGGATACAGCCTCGCTTTTCTCAAGCTCCTTGTTCTGATGTAGAATTGTCGGTAAGATGCGTTCTTTTATGAAAATGATAAAGGAAAAATGTATCTATATCTAATGTCAATATAATTGTACTTTAACATTACATAATTTCAATGTTATTAATGATTCGTATAAAAGTCTACAGTGATGAGCGCGTGGTAGCATCTGTTGCGCTGTTTTGCTAATATAACGTTCAGTATGTATGCCTTCATTGCTTTTTTTTGTCAATTGACGAGCATTTACTTCAGTCAATGAATAAATCATCGATTTTTGAATGTTTTTTAATTGGACAATTTCTTTATGATTTACTGATAGCTTCTTTGGTTAGTTTGAAGTGTATTACTTGTTGCATTTGTAAATATACACTGAAAAAATTCTTTAAGTAGGTATCATTTTTTTTAAATGGAATAAATATTAATTTTCTGTAAGCAAATGGTCCCATTGGTACTATCTAAACAAATATTTATTCAAATTTTGTAATTTTTTTTCGGTGTATAATGTGATTCGAAGAAATTGTAAAATTTGAATGTTTATTTATCGGTAACTCAATTAATAATTAACCCATTAAAAAATAATAATTAATATAAATAGGATACGGTCAGGTTGAATTAATACTAAGATAAAATATTATTTTAAATAATTAAATATGTTACTGTATATAATTTATATAAATACTTTATGTGAGCGGTCACATTAATATTATGCAACAAGACTTATTATTATTTAAAGTTAAAAAAAAATACAATCTCTGCACATTTCTACTTATTATCAAAGGTTTCAAAAACTTATTACTTTATTAAAAAATGTAGAAGGTCTGTATACCCATTGGCACTGATACAAGTTCTGTAGAATATGTTGGTAATGTGTCGCATTGGTTTTGTGATTTTAGTTGTGAGTAATGTTGGTTGGTTTCTTAGTTTTTGATAATTCTATTTCTATCTTTATATTCTCAATGCGACATGATAATGGATTCGACATCGAATCAATGGATCGATTCGACGTCGAATCGACGTTAAATGCGATTAAAATCATAGAAATTTTTAACAATTGGAATTTCTCAGCCCAAATAGTTTTATCAAGTGAGTCGTCACTATTGTTGATTGCATATGTTTTTAAATTTGGAGGCATTTGAGTATAAATTATTCTTAATAAATGCATTGAATAATTATGTCTTATTGATGATTTACTTTTACTCTCTTTCTCTCTCTCTCTCTCTCTCTCTCTCTCTCTCTCTCTCTTTCTATATACATATATGTGTGTATATAAATTTTTAATTTATAATTATAAAAAATTGTTAGGCAGTTAGCAAAAAAAGAGCCGCATACAAACATACATTTTAACAACAATATAATAAGATTTTCTTTCATGTGTACATCTTTAGAAAATTTTTGTTTAAAAACAAGGTTTTGTGTTTTTATTACCTAATCTCTGTTGTTTCCTTCTTTTTTTGTATTAAATGCTATATATTTATAACTAAATGTTATAATTTGCATCGTTTACAATTGCTTACGTTTTTACATTGCATGCTGGTAAACTCACTTTTCTTGTTTAACTTCTGTATCGCCATCATTCTGACAGCACTCTGACTGTAAAAAAAAATGTTCTGCGAAATGAAACAAAATGTTAGCGAATACAGGGCAAAAAATAATAGCAATATTAATCGCTTCTCAGATATCAGATATTTTATTATAATAAGTTCTCTGTTTTTCTCTTTTATCTTACATTTATGTTCTGCAAACATTGACGTTTTTATAATCTTTTTTTATCGGATACAGCTGAAATCGACATTTAGAAGCTAGAAATTCATTTTTAAAATAATTATGTGCTATCATGCAACTATTAAATTGTTCGCTACCTCAGAAGGGGAAGCGGGCATTGTCATCGTTTTCGCATTTAATACTCTCAAGCTTCCAGGAATTAATGCGATGAGGTACAATTACAATTGATCGTTGCTGCTTGTGCTTCATCGTCTTTGCTATGGTTATTCAGTATTATACTTTTGCCGTCATCACGCGAAGCATACAACGTCTGTGTGTGCTATTTTTACTTATGACGTGACTGTATGTTTTTACCATTTAGTACTTCTGAAAAAACGATGAAACGTACAAGCACTATTAGCCGTTTGGTCGAGATCGGTCTTCGTTTAATCGGCATGTGGCCGGATTCGGCTTATCCAAATCTCTATTGGTCTATGTATATGACAATGTTAGGGTTATATCAATATTTTCAATATTCATATATTGTTACGCATTTTGACACTAGCAATCTTTCAATTTTAACGGATTGTCTGGGTCTCGCCCTGGCGAATACGTCCGCCTTTCTTAAATTATTTTTTTTGCGATGGAACCGGAGGTAAGACTCTCTGTTTTAACATTCGATTTAACAGAAATAACATCGAAGATGATTATTATAAATGCTGAAAGAGAGAGAGAATGAAAGAAAAAATGAAAATGGTTTTTTTATTATATAATATTGATGTAATAAAAAGAGAGAGAGCATTTTAATATAATTTTTACTTAAATTTTGGAGATATTTGTTGTCTAGGAATTTTTCGAGGCATATAACTGCGTACAATTTTAGCATATAATTAATGAAGTTAACACTTAATATAAATATTTTCTATAAACAGAATTACATATTTAAATGTTCTTTTAGCATTTGAAACTTTTTTTTCGTAATTAACGTGTGCAGTTATTCGATAAGATAATGCGCTGTCTGCAGGACATTCTATAATATCGTGGCAGCAGTGAATAGAGACTGGAATGATCGCGTTGTCAGCGATTCTTATTCCACCATGATGACAATCGCGGATCAGTCAAATCGTTATTCTATCGTGCTAATCGGCCTCCACTTTCTGACTGGCTTTTCCTTATCCATCGGTACTTACATGTTTCGCACGATAAATGCTGACAACGAAGCTTCAACACGAGAATTCCCAGTAAAAATGCAATTCTCTTTTGTGGTCTCAGAATCACCGGTTTTTGAATGCATTCTTTTTGGGCAAATTTTTTTTCTAATGTTGATAGCCCCTGTAGTTGGTATGATAAATGCGTTACTTGCTACATTGGTAAGTACATAACTATTCATTTCAAACTTTAAAATCCCTCTTTGCAATTTTAGAAGCAAAAATATTCTGTAATTGTGTCGATAAAAAATTTTTTATTAAAAATAAGAAGAAAGCCATTTTCGGTCAAAGCGAGCTTGGCTTATAAAATTCATATGTGAATATACAAATACAATTACCATTTCTACAGACTGTGAATCAATTTTTTAATTAGTTTAGATAATGTTTTATATTTACAGATACTTCATGTAGGTGGTCAGGTTGACATCATGCGGCAAGCCATAATGAACGTACATAGCAACGACAAACTTGGTACATCTTTAACCGTACTTCGTGATCTCATTCACAGACACCGAAAGATTATTACTTTGTCGAATGATATCGAAACTCTATTTTCGTTCATTGCGCTGCTGCAACTCCTGTGGAATACTTTAATCATCTGCTTCTGCGGTTTCATGATCATACTTGTAAGAAATGTCAATTGCTTCAACCTTCTGACTGATTCTGATGATTTTGCTTTCTTTCGCAGGCTCTCACTAGTAATAAAGGCGTAATGGTTTTAATAAAGTCGATATTTCTTTATACCGTAAAAACATTAGAAGTTTTCGTATTCTGCTACGCAGGGGAATTCTTAAGCTCCAAGGTGAGTAAAGAAATGTTTCTTACAAGTAAAAAATATGTGATTATGTATTTTTTCTTATTTGTTCTAAAACCGTAAATAATAATTAATTAATTAAATTATGTAAAAAATAGAAACACAGTTATAATCTTGACAGCTACATAATATTGAGTAATAAATTATTTTTAAACAATCTAAACACTTATATTTATGCGTTTTGAACTCAGGTTACGCTTTTCAGAGTAAATCAATTAGCGATGCAATATATGAGTCACTTTGGTACAACATGATACCGTCCGATAGTCGGATTTTGTTGTTAATAATGGTGAGATCCCAAAAGCGACTGACAATCACTGCAGGGAAAATTTTTGATCTGACTTTAGAAGGATTTATGAGCGTAAGATATCTGCGATGTAGACGCATTTCTTCATTTTTCGTGTCTTTTAAACCAAACTATTTTTAGGTGATGAAAGCTTCTGTTTCGTACATGTCTGTATTGCATGCTATGTACTAAATCGGGAAAAGTACCATTAGTCCACAGTTTTAATAAACGCTCCATGCTGGTGATAAATAACTTGTTATGAACTTTTTCAACAGACACTTGTTACAGACGACGAAAATGGATTGTATAACATATATATATATGTATATATATTTAAATAATAATATTAGGAGTTAATTTGCATATAATATAAAAAATATATCTCCTTATGTCTCTTCTATGCAGTCTACGTTTAATCTTTTTATCTGCGATATCTCCTTTTTTCTTTGTAGACGTAAATATCTATAAATATTCTATCACTTGGTGACAATATGCTGTACATTGTGTAATTCTTATGTCTTATACCTTAGAAATATTAAATTTTTAGATCTATTAGGAACATAAGGTCTTTTTTCAACGCTTTTTGTAGAGAAATTATCAACAACGGTGTATCAACAACATGCGCTTGCATTTTTAAAAACGGTTATTTGCGTAAAGATACACGTGTATCTACGCAAATGATCGTTCTTATCTTTTTTTTGCACGCTGAAACGTTCATCACACAATCGTTGATTTATTATCGTAATTTAGCTTGCTTTATCGCTCAATTTATACTGCGAAATGCGTAATTACGGTTGATCGTTGCTCGACTACTATAAACATAGTAGTTTCCACCCTGTAAAATTGCTCTACCTCCCTTGTGACATTGTGGAGGGGAATACAACGCGGAGCTAGACCGAGGCAGTCGATTGTCGTGTTTTCTTCGCGATATCACTTCTCGTACAGTCGTTATTCAGCTCAGTTGGAAGGGGATGACGCGTGCGATTTTCCGGAGCGATGGTTCAATGTGACGTTACATACTATTATGTTGAGAAGTACCGTCAGCCCGTTGTTGAAGATGGGTCTTGGTTTGATCGGTATATGGCCTGGTGCCTCATACGGGACGCTTTGTTGGCTCTTTTATATGACAACTCTCGTAGTGATGCAATACTTTCAGTATTCCTACGTCTACGAGCATCTCGATTTCAACAATCTGACTAAGCTAATGGACGGTTTGGGCCTCACTTTGGATTACACCCTGACAATATTGAAGTTGATCAGCTTCTGGTTTAATCGTCGGTAAGACTAGCGATCGCTCGACAGTGATCGTTTCTAAATGATTTGAAAGACACTGATCAGTGATCGGTCGTAGGATATTCGCGGATATTTTGATTGCGATGGATGACGATTGGAAGGATAGCGAGACTAATTTGCGTGAATGCGTGATGATGGACAAGGCTAATTTGGCGCACCGTTGTTCCAATGCCATGATATCTGTTAACGCTCTTGCCACTTTTCTATATTTTATCGAGAGCCACGTACGTGGATACACACGTTCTAAGAACGGACAGCTTCGCAGGTTTCCGATACAGGTACAATTTCCGTTCGAGGTTTATAAAACGCCCATTTACGAGCTCGTCGGCGTGGGACTGTTTTTCCATGTGTTAGAAACGGCGATCATAATAGCTATGTTAAATGCTTTGATTTTAACGTTGGTAAGTTAAAAAAACAGTTGGAAATCTTTTAGCTAAATTTGTATCCGATAAGATTAACGTAATGCCATTTAAAATGTACTCTAGCTCAAATTTTTTTAAATTAAAGTTTCTATTGGATTTGTTGTATCTTGTCTGAAATCCTAGTTTTTATTCGAGGTACTTCACGTAAGCGGACAAATCGATATCATGTGTCAAGAGTTAAAAGCGATTCCTTCCATGATCAAATCTAGCTCGGTATCCACTAAATCGCTCATCGTAAGACACCAGAAGATCATATCATTGTCGAAAAATATTGAAAGCTTCTTTTCATTTGTTGCTCTACTGCAGTTCGTATGGAATACTTTTGTTATTTGCGCCATAGGATTCATGGTCGTGATAGTGAGTAAGATTGCTTCAACTACTGTAGAACCAAACTGTCCGTCATCCAAGATTACCTAAAAAAAAGAAATATATTCTGAAAATGTACTTAATTAAAATCGTGTTAATTATATTTATTAAAAATACTTTTTTTATAGCATCTAAGAAAGTCAGTTTATTCAATATTTAATTCACAATGCAATTTTAAGACAAATGCAATATTATTATCTTTATTTGGTAATAATAATAATAATAATCAAATAATAACTTGAAAAACATATTTTTATGCAGATATTTATCCAATTCTAATATTATTTTATACTATCTGCAAATATTATTTAACATTTCAGTCTTTAGATATGAACATGACGAGTAAATTCGGAATATTGGTACAATTTATTATTCCATATTTTGCAGTGACAATAGAAGCTTTTGTTTTTTGTTTCGCCGGCGAGTATTTAAGCACTAAGGTAGGCATGCAGCTTTTGTTTTTATCAATATTTCTTCTGTTGAATTGGAATATACATATAACATATTATACATATATGTAATTAGGTATACATGTATGTATATATACATATATGTATATAAAAACCTTATAATTTTGATAATTTAATTCTAAAATGACTAATAAATGACATTATAACCAGTAGTCCGTTTTTATATTTAAAACCGTCTTAAGTATAATTTTAAAATGTAAATCAATCACGGAGCCATAATAGCATCTTAAAAATAAGAATGAATTGTGAAAATACTGGCTTGTATATTTTACATAATCACTTTTATCTAAATAGAGAGCTTTGTCCTTATGTATCGTGTGCTATAGTTTCATATATCAAATAATTTTTTACTATTTTTTAGAGCAAGGCTATTGGCGATGCAGCGTATGAGACGGTTTGGTATGAATTATCTACTAGCGAATGTCGAATTTTGTTATTTGTGATTCTCCGATCTCAAAAACGATTGACAATTACTGCTGGAAAAGTCATGGACCTGACATTGGAAGGTTTTACTAATGTAAGTTTTTTTGCTTTAAACTTCATATCGAATTTTTTCTAATGATAAGTTATTATTTATATTATTTATAATAATATGCTAATATATTTTTCTTAATTATTTGTTATTATGGTTATTATTGCCGAACAAGTGCCGATGTCGTACAACAATGTTTAAAAAATTTAATATGTGGATTATGTTGATTGTCTTTGGACTTCGAATAATCATTCCTGTTAATATTCTTTTTTGCGTGATATTCTTTCAGGTTATGAAAGCTTCAGCTTCGTATATTTCAGTTTTATATGCAATGTATTGAAAGTTGAATTAATTTATGTTGATTATACGGATATATATCGTCAAATCATCAAATGAAGTGATGTATGTATATTTGTAGAAAGATTAATAGAGAAAGGTAATTATTATAAACAATCAGATTTTCTTTTATTTTCAGCAATCATTGTTTAATTTTATTTATGTAAACTTAGTAGAATCTTTATGTTAATCTTTTTAAGATTTGACTTATAAGATAGAAAATATAAATTTTTTGCTATACATTCGGCCGCAAAAGATTCTATTGAAAATATGTAATGTGTTTTGAATGGCAACGTTTGCTTCCAGTTATTCTTCATCAAGCATAAATTATTGTAAATTTTGTTTAAAGACAGTAAAGATGATTCAATAATAATGTAATATTTAAACAGAATAGTAGCCACACAGTGTTCATAGCCATTATATTACAATTTACTTTGCTTATAAACTTTAAATTAAAAGTTATAATTTCGGTTTTTTCATCATCTGATCTTTCTGCGTAGAAAAAAAAATTTTTTTCTTCAAATTGCACACACAGGCTAATATTCAACAAATTAATATTCTTGCTAATGCGACTGATTATTGTGCTGTATGTCATTATCAATCGGTTGTTTTTTAAAATTTAATTTTTAGATCTGCTACTTATAATGTGTAATTTTTTTTCTCATAGCCATACTTTTTTATTTATACCAGAGAGTCATAATTGCGGTTTTAAAGGAAATTATCTATTATTTTTTTATACCATTGTGTTTAGTTCATTTAGTCGACTGAGTCGACAATGATATTTTCCATGTGTACCTTTTTCTGATTGCGAAAAAAAACCTGTAATCGCCTGTCATTGTAATTTAGTTTATTATTTCATGGCTGTATCGTCGTATTGCAAGATACATAATTGCAATTGATCGATGCTCACACTACCCTGTATTCTTCTACGGGGTAATTTAGCTCTCTGTGAAATTGCTAACTGTGTACAAGGGGATGGAGAATGCACAAGAGTTTAAAGACCTCTTTCCCATATTTTTCTTGTGGTAACGCTCCTCCCCCGACAATCGAGATCCATTTCACTAGAACAAGACGACGCGAACGGTTCGGTCGACGTTTCAATGTGAATCTACGGACCGTTATGTTAACAAGCACTGTAAGCCCCTTGCTGAAACTTGGCCTTTGTTTGATCGGCATGTGGCCTGGTTTTTCGTGTAGAACGTTTCTTTGGTTCTTTTACATGACTACTCTCGTCGTCATGCAATACTTTCAGTATTCATACTTTTTCGCAAAATTGGGCACAAACGATTTTTCTAAGTTAATGGATGGCTTGAGCATCACTCTAGATTACACTCTGACGTTTCTGAAGCTATTAAGCCTTTGGCATAATCGTCGGTAAGATTCGCGATTATTGGTCGTGATTTTTAGACATTACTGAGTAATCGGTTGCAGAATATTTTCTGATATTTTGAGTGCGATGAACGACGACTGGAATAATTGCTCCACTCATACATGCATGATGATGAACAAGGCCAATCTGGCGCATCGGTGTTCTAACGTCATGCTAACCCTTAACAGTTTGTCTGTTGTTTTTTATTTCATCGGCAATTACATGAGTCACCGCACGGTTTCCACGGACTTTCGGGAATTTCCGATTCAGATACAATTTCCGTTTGATGCCACCGACTCACCGATATTTGAGTTCATTGTTCTGGGATTATTTTTTCATGTGTGGGAAACGGCAATCGTAATCGCATTGCTGAATTCCTTAATCTTAACATTGGTAAGTCAAAGAATGAGAATTTTTAAAGCCATTAGATTAGTCAATGAAGTAATGCTTATCGGGTTATCGCACAAGCTCTCTTTGGTAAAATTAAATAGCATCTTTTAAATCATCGCGAACGCGTCTCGAACTTTTAGTTCTTATTTCGAGGTACTTCACGTAAGCGGCCAGATCGATATCATGTGCCAAGAATTGAGAGAAATTTCCACCACGCAGAAATCTCATCCGTCAGCCATGAGATCGCTCATCGAGATGCATCAGAGGATTATATCCTTATCGAAGAATATCGACAATTATTTCTCATTTGTTGCATTAATACAATTCGTATGGAACACCATAGTTATCTGTTCCATAGGAATCATGATCATGATAGTGAGTAAGAATGTTTTATCTGCAACGAAAATGTCTCTAGAAAACAAAAAAATTGTCCACTACGCTGTGTGCCAATCTTCGTTAAATACCACTACGTTGCTTTATTCGTTCATTTTGCTGTTTAAAATGTCAAAAGAGAATAATAAAATTTACAATATCTGATTTGTTGAAAGTAATTATGGTATAGAGAGAGAAAACTTAAATCATTGCAAACTCCTTTTGAACCTTCTGAAATATTTTTGCAATAATAATTCCATTTCTCTCAGAATAATGCGTTATTTTATCTCTTTAACATTGGGATTATGTTCTTAGAGAGTTGCATATAAAGCATAATACCGGTCCAATAATTAAAAGCACGAACGTGATATTATGATTTATTCCTAATTAACATAATCTAACACATGATTACATAGTCTCTAAGTACGGATGTGGAAGGGAAATCAGGATTATTAATACAATCCATCGTGCCCTACATCGCTGTTACGTTAGAAGCTTTTGTTTTCTGTTTTGCTGGTGAATACTTAAGTACTAAGGTTAGCATGATTTCTTTGGCTTTTAGATATGAGTACTTTTTTGTAATAATACATGTCATAGCTATACTTTTTAAAAAATAACTATAGTTTTCCATTTTACGATTTAACGACAAGGCTTTATAGCTGCTATTCCTATATGCCTTACATGCGCGTTCAGTTTGTACTACTACACAACATTTTAAAAACAAATCTTTCTTCTTTCTCAGAGTAAGTCCATCAGCGATGCGGCGTACGAAACACTTTGGTATGATCTGTCCACTAGCGAATGTCGAATCTTATTATTGATAATTGTCAGATCTCAAAAACGATTGACGATCACGGCTGGAAAAATCATGGACCTGACTTTGGAAGGTTTTACAAGTGTAAGTATTCTAATCGGTTTTAAATATAGAAGAGATTAATGACGTTTACATATGTAGAAATGTATTGGCTCAAAATCAAATGACTATGAGTGTTGCAGTTAGATATAATAATATTGAAATTATATCGTTGTCTATGTACATACAATGGTACGTATGTATAGTATACAACGATTGTGTATACAATATATTGTTATATATTGTTTATAATTTTTGTTATTTATTCTTGGAGTCTAAGGAATGTTTAATTAATTATTTATAATATTCAGATTCTGGAAAATATGTGTATACAAAAACGAATTGATATATATTGTTTATAATTTTTGTTATTTATTCTTGGAGTCTAAGAAATAAATTTAATGTTTAATTAATTATTTATAATATTCAAATTCTGGAGAACATGTGTTTATGCTATTTGTTGCTTTTGCATAAGAATATTTTTTTTCAGCTCATGAAAGCTTCAGCGTCGTACATGTCGGTATTGCACGTAATGTATTGAAATTCAAACCTTGCGCGAGTAATTAACTTTATTCGTTGAATAATCATTTGTAACAATATTCATAACACAATAAAAACTATCCAAATTATTAAATAGTTAAACTTGTTTTATTATAATCGATTATGTTTGCTGGAAAACAAAATTAAAAATGGAAATTATGATTTAACAAAGCATTTATGTCAACATTTTTATATAATAAATAGAAACAAGTCATTTAATTAAATTATCCGTTATTAAAAAATTCATTATGATATATATGTTAAATTTGAAATAGCAGAACGACTTTTGTTATATGTGGCCTCTATTCCATTTCTGTATAAAAAATGTAAAAATATAATGGCAGTGCAAAAAACATTTTAAAATAACTTTATTATAATGTAATTTAGGCGTTACAAGCAAGCGGACAAATTGAAATAAGTCGATCAAATGATAAGTTAACATTTCAATAAAAAAAAAGTTTTTTATTTTGCTTATTATTAATTTTGAGATTTTCTAAGATATTTTTCTTTATAGATATATATATATATATATATACATACGTTGGTATTCCAAGTATTATATTATTACTTATTCTAAGTATATATATGCATACGTTGGTATTGCCAAACATTGGCATTCCAAGAATGGATCTGGACACGAAGAAAACCCGCGAAACGCATGATTTTCATATATATATATATATATATACATAACTTATTAATAAAAATTAATTTCTTAATTTGTATTTTTGTAGATTATGAAGACGTTAGCAACTTATATATCAGTTTTGAATGCTATATATTGATATTAACGAGAACGTGCATCAATAACACAACTGAAATTATAACATAAATAATATAAACCAATAAGTTACAAAATATAGACAATGAATTAAGAATTTCATTGTTATTAATAAAATTAAATATTACTTGTTAACTGTTTATTAATAAATTATTATACAATCTGAAGTGTATTTAATATCAAGGGGTTACTCACTGACAAAAATGATTTCTGATTTCTTGTATTCATGCTATTTGAACATGATTCCAAAATGATTTCATTTGTTTCTTGGAAAAAATTCGAGATGCGCGACCGAGCGTACGACAATGTTTTTTTGTTTGATTTCAGATGGTTTCTTGATTTTAATGATGAATGTTTAATTGCCTCGTTAATTTATTTCCTCGCTGATTTCGTAGGTAAATGATCCTTCGTTTAGTATATAGGCAATTAACGTAACCGGAATTAATTTTTCGTTCCTCGTGTATTCTCACATTGTTATATTCTTATTTAAAATTGTATGTATCTGCGTTAGATATCCTTTTGGTTATTGTTTTTTAATTCTACTCAGAGGACCGCATGTTCGATTTACATGCAGAACGTATTTCGTTGCTTGTATCTGTAATTAACTGTTTATAACGTCTGCTGTTCAAAACTTTTACTCTTTACTGTCTCTCCAAGCAAGTCTTCAATATAGTTTATAATTCCGTTCTCAGAATTAAAAAAATTATTCAGTCATTATACTCCCACTCGTGTAGTTCCTTTTGTTCTACCCATATATTTTCTTTTTTAAAAGGTTGAATGACATGATTACAACCCGCTTCTGTCTGTTAGAATACATTTTGTATAATCACAATTATACTATCATGATACTTTTAATGATTTTCATGATTGGTAGGAACATAGACATTTGTTTTTTGTTGATATTATTATGTTGCCAAGAAACAAGTTAGCAAAAAAAAACGAAAACTATCTCTTAGAAAACTGTTTTTTCATCTTTAGCAGTATAATATGTTCACAATTGGAATACGTTATTACATTGCTAATGAAATTATAGGATGTTCATAGAAATAATGAGTTCTGTCTCGTCTTATCGTCGTACTGTGCACTGTATAATAGCGATTGATCCATATTCATCTGAGTGGGGATGCATCGTGTGGGGATGAATTTAAAAAAATGGACAATGTGCTCTCAGTTCCTCCGCAAACGAGTATACTAGATGTGCCTATACTAATCTTCATTTCTTACGTTTCAAAAACTCTAGACGGAAGATCATGAGTACTGTCAGTCCGGCAGTGAAAATTGCCCTTCAATTTCTTGGCATATGGCCAGATGTGTCACATTCTACTATTTATTGGCTAAGTTTTATGTCGATCATGTTAATTGTGCAGTATTTCCAATATTCATACATATTTAACCATTTAAGTTCCAGTGAATTATCAAATCTTGTCGATGGTCTGCCTATGACTTTTAATTACAGTTTGACATTTCTTAAACTGTCCAGTTTGTGGATAAATCGTCGGTAAAATATAATATTAATGTACAATGTAATACTACAGTTCGATACTCAATTATTATATTCGAAAAATAGAATTTTTTCTTAATTGTCTGACAGCTTTAATATAATTCTTTTTAATCTAAAGTAATATAATATCATCTAAATCATAGCTCAAATATTAATGACTATAATATGCATAGCTCCTCAAAAGACGGTATAATATATTTTTATCTAGAACAAAATAAAATATTATATTGTAGGATACTTTATAAAATTCTTGCTACTATGGATAATGATTGGTGTGAGTGCATCAATATCGATCAGCATTTGTATATAATGACAGTCAAAGCAAATATATCGCATTTCATCTCTAACGCTTTATTGAGCTTCACTGCGATTGTTGGTGTACTTTACCTCTTAGGCGAATATGCAGTTCGTTTCGTATTTTTAATAGAAAATTATAATGACACTATAAAGCAGCTTCCTTTAAGGCTGCAATTTCCCTTTGAAACTCAACAATCGCCGATGTTTGAATTTCTCGTTGTAACAATATTTCTACAGGCGATGATACACGTATGCACGGTTGCTATTTTAAACGGCTTAATCTTTTCTTTGGTAATTTATATTTTATATGAATTTGATTGTAATTTTACTTTTATTAATATTTATATTAATGTTTTATTGTTGTTATCATTTTTTATATTAATATTTTAATAGCGAAGTGATTTTTGACGCAAGTTTATAATACTGAAACTTATTATATTAAATGTTTTTTAAATAATTTTTTAACTTTTGTTACATATAAACAATTCCATTTCGCATAAAAAAATTTTAAACTACAATACCGGTGTTAAAAACATTTTAAAATAATGTTTATTATAATGTATAATACATTATGTAAGAACACCATGAGTATTTTATCGATACATATTTTTTATATATGTGTAGTAACGATATTTTTTACACGCATTATTAATATATGAATTTTAAGTATGTATATTTTAGGTATTACATGCAAGTGGACAAATTGACATAATATGTCAAGAATTTAAAAATATTTTTAAGAATACTCTTCATAGATCTTCATTAGGAATGCTGATTGAGAGGCATAATAAAATCATTTTATTTTCTGAGGATATTGAAAAACTCTTTTCCTTTTTTGCGTTGATGCAAATTGTTTTGAATACATTAACTATGTGCTGCTTAGGTTTTTTCACCATAATTGTAAGTTCTGTAATCAATGTGCAGTTACTGATATTGTGTGTGACATTAATTTTTTAATTATTTGTCGAATTAGTGTATCCATAATGAAATTGCTGTTTTCCTGTTAGTGAAAGCAGTTTTATCTTATTGTGTTATAATGTCTGAAGCCTTTGTCGTTTGCTTTGCCGGAGAACATCTTACCCTCAAGGTGCGTATTCTGCAGAATTTGTTAACTGTGTGTAAATATAAATGTTTTTTAAACACAATGTAATAGTGCTGTTTTAATGATAGAAATATGTGCTATTTTTTCCTAATAAAAGTATTTTAATATGTTGCGTTACATAAAACATTATTTAAAATAATAGAATTTATAAAAAATATATTTCTAATTTTTATTTTTATAGAAACATTTATTTATGAAATACGTATTGTAGTTCCTTATATACGTATATATATGTACATATATATAATGTAATAATATAATACATATGTCATGTTATAACAAAATATATTTTTATACAAAAGTTAATTTCTTATTGTAAAAAATATGTTTATTATATTTAACAATATGCTTTATTTATCAATTAATTGTTCGTTATGTTTAGAAAACTTTTATATGATGATACACAAGTTTTCGTGTCAAATAAGTCGAATAAATATATGTAGATTTAAAAAAGTCAAATTCGAAATTATTTGATTTCTTTTTAGGGCAAATTGATTGCAAATGCAACATATGAAACGTTATGGTATGATATGCCCGTAAATATGGGTAGAATTATGATGTTTATAATGATGAGATCTCAGAAGCAACTAACCATCACGGCAGGGAAAATGATGGATATGTCATTTGAAAGTTTTACAAATGTAATTCTTTAAATACTTCGAACACTTTATTAAAAAACGATTTCGTTTTGCTTATCACTAATTTTTTGAGATATTAATATTTTTCTTTATAAATGAGCGTCCATAATTTATTAAGCAACTTTAATTTCTTAATTTGTATTTTTATAGATTATGAAGACCACAGCATCTTATATATCAGTTTTAAATGCTATGTACTGATATAATTGAAAATGTGCCTCAATAATTGAAATTATAACATAAATAATAATTTATAGTATATGAACAATAAATTAAGTATTCCATTGTTATTAACAAAGTTAATTATAATTCATTAATTCTCAATTAACTCAATTAACTCTTAATTAATAAATAACAAATTAAAAGTGAATCTAATATATAGGCAATTAACATATCTATGTATGCATCTGCATTAGATGTTTTTAGATTGTCCCTTAAACCCAATCTGACGATTGCATATTCGATTGTATGATCTGTAATAAACTATTTATAATGTCTGCTGTTCCAAACTTTTACTTGTGATATTTTTTCCTCCAAGCGAGAATCTTCAATATAATTTATAATTATATTCCTAGAACTACAAAAATTATTCAGTCATTATACTTCATTTTGTATAGTCTCCTTATTTTCTCTTTAATTAATTTTTTTAAATATTAGAGGTTGAATGGGTGTAATTACAATTCACTTTTTACTGTTAGAATACCTAATGTATAATCACAATCATACCATCATGACATTTTTAATGATTATCACGATTAGTAGGAAACGCAGACATTTGCTTTTTGTTGACGACATTGTGTTGCCAAAGAAACGAGTAAACAAAGAAAGAAATATCCCTCAACGAACTGTTTTTGCTGTACTTTAGGAGTATAGATTTGCTTTTTTACTTTAGCAGTATAGTATTGCGGTCGGAAAATATGTTATTATAGATTGCTAATGAAATTATAGGATGATCATATAAATAATGAGTTCTGTCTCGTCTTATTATCGTCGTATTACGTAACATATAATAGCGATTGATCCGTGTTCTTCTGAGTGGGGACGCATCGGATGCGTGTGGGGATGAAACGGACAATGCACTGTTAGTTTCTTCTCTAACAAGCGTACTGAATGTGTCGTTACTGATTTTCATTTTCTTAATTTCAAAAACTGTAGGCAAAAAATCATGAGTACTGTCAGTCCGGCAGTGAAAATTGGCCTCCAATTTCTCGGCATATGGTCAGACGTGTCATATTCTTCTATTTATTGGATGAGTTTTATGTCGAGTATGTTGGTTATACAGTACTTCCAATATATGTACATATTTGAACATTTGAATATCAGTGAATTATCAAATCTTGTTGATGGACTGCCTATGACTCTTGAGTATAGTTTGACATTTTTTAAATTGACAATTCTGTGGATACAACGTCGGTAAGATATTATATTAACAGGAGTCACTGGTCACCCACGCTGGACTTTCTGTTCAGGCAGTTTGATATTTCGACTATAAAACGAACGTAATTACAAAATAATTTTTGATAAACATAATTATGATTTACTCAATATTATAGTATATTAGCTCTTCTCCTTTATAATAATAATAATAATGATAACAACAACAACAATAATAATAATAATAATTCTTGTAATTTTTAAAACAATTATTATATTATTTAACATATTATTTAGCAACTATGTAAAATGCGAAGGTATCTTACGGGTTATTGACGACCCACATAATGTGGTCAAGTCACTTGAAATTGGGTCAGCACGGAATATAGTGCAATTTTGCACAATTATTATGTTCAAGAAACACGATTCTTTTTCAGTATTCTAACATATATTTCGGAAGCGATACTTTTTAATATAAAGTTGCATGATACCACCTAAATCTTATTTTAAACATTTATACATATAATATCAATGATTTCTCACAAGATAGTAATGTATTTATCTAAAACAGAGCTTTTCAACTTGGGCACGATGTGCCTTTTACGTTATGAATTCCTTCTTTCTTCTCCTTCCTATTAGGTTTGTGACCTCAAGAAACAGATAGTACTGTACTATGATAATGTGATCCGCCTCTGTAGGTCAGAAATCTAATCGGAGGAAGAAGGAAGAAGGAAGGATTTCATCAACGTAAAACTCACGTCGTGCTCGAGTTGGAAGGCGTTGATCTAAAATATATGATGAAATAAATAAAATATTGTAGAATACTTCATAAAATTCTTGCTACTATGGATAATGATTGGCGTGAATGCATCAATACCGACCATCATTTGTGCATAATGACAATCAAAGCAAATATATCTCATTTCATTTCTAATGCTATATTGAGCTTTACTGCCATCATTGCCGCACTTTACTTCTTAGGCGAATACGCAATTCGTTTCGTATTTTTAACCGAAGATTATAATGACACTTTAAGGCAACTTCCTTTAAAGTTGCAATTTCCCTTTGAAAGTCAGCAATCGCCGGTATTTGAACTTCTTACTGTAACAATATTTCTACATGTGATGTTACACGCATGCACGGTCGCTATTTTGAATGGATTGATTTTTACTTTGGTAAGTCATATTTTATATATATTTGTGTGCTCCTTTCCTTTTTCAGTATACAGTATTTTAATGTCAAAGCGGTTTATAACGCTATGTTTTAACAATAAAATCTGTTATACAAATTTTTTGTTATTAATTCATTAACTTTAATTATATGTAAACTATGCCATTTCTGTCTATAAGAAACTCTAATATAAAATGTCATTGCTAAAAATATTTTAAAGTAACTTTCATTATACAATGTATTATACAAAAATATCTTATATCTTTATACTTGAAACATTCTTTATGGTGATGATTCTCCTTGTAAAGACTAATTTTTGCTAAAATTTAAGTATATTTTAGGTTCTACACGCAAGCGGACAAATTGATATAATATGTCAAGAGTTGAAAAATATTTCCGAAAACACTCTTCTTCATGGATCTTTTGCACCTTCATTTGGAATGTTGATCAAGAGGCATAACAGAGTAATTTCATATTCCAACAACATCGAACAACTTTTCTCCTTTATCGCATTGATGCAAGTTGTTTGGAATACGTTAGTCATTTGCAGTATAGGATTTCTCTTAATAGTTGTGAGTACTAACGAATACATAATGATTGATATTGTATATATCTTTTATTTTTCTTATTTTTATTTATCAAACTAGTCTATCCATAATGAAGCTAGAGGTTTCGTATTAGTGAGAACCGTTTCTGCTTATTGTGTTATAATGGTTGAAGCTTTTATCATTTGTTTTGCTGGAGAACATCTTAGCCTCAAGGTGTGTATTCAGAAGTCGTTAATTAGAAATATATAACTTTTTAACACAACTTAATTGTGTTAGTGTAATAATAAAGACGTATAATATTATTTTCTAATGAAAGTATTTTAAAGTGTTGCAATATATATAATATTATAAACAATTATTTCTTATTTCAAAGAAATATTTCTTTAAATATATCGTAGTATATTTTTAAATATATCGTAATATTCTTTACAAGTAAATCGTAGTATTATGATCATGATATATTTTTTATAATAAAAGGTTACTGAAATTATAATGATGATATTACTAAAATTATAATGAGATATATCTTTTATAATAGAAGGTTACTAAAAAAAATTACAATATATCCTATTTATCAGTAAATTGTTCTTTACAACTGAAAAATTTTCTATATTCTAAAAATACAAAAAATTACATTAAGCATTTTTAATATTATGTATGTTAACAAATGTTCTTGTAATGACGTGATGATAGAAGAAAAATATTTTTTTGACAAGTAGAAGAAAGTCGCCGATACTGACATGTCTCCTAAAGTGACACCCCCTTATTTCTCAGAAACTAACTATTGCACTTTATTAATAATAATGAAATCATGATCTGTTTAGCTAATTAAAGAAGTACAAACTCATAATTCGTATATTTGTGGCTTGTTTCTATACCAAATCAGCTAAAAACGAATTTTACGAAAGCGAAAATAAAATTCTTACGATTTTCTTTTGCAAATTGCATGGTTTAATAGTGACTATATTATTGATAATATTACGTCGTTTTAAACGCTTGTAGTTTCCTAAATCAGTTCTATTTATATATATTATTTTTTCTCTTAGTCTTTTCATAATACGATTTTAAATTTAAAATTGGGGTGCAGCGTAAACCGCCACACCTGGCTGTAAAACAGACCATGAGCCAACTTAATCTTTATAATGTTACTTTATAGTGTCAAATAAGTCTATTGGAGCTGAAGACAATCGTGCATATATGGAAAAACTTTTGAGAAACTATCGCATTAAATATTTGTATCTTGCAGAACAGCATAAAATAAATATGCATATAATTCAATAAAAATGTTTTATAAGTGAAAAGATTCTGAAAAATCTTATATACATTCTTTTGTAGGTACTTTGTACAGATAATGCTTGTAAAATACAAAGAATATGAATACGTAGCCTACTGTGTCAGTTTTGGAGCCCATTTTGTCAGACGCTCATTTTTGCTTACCTTACGAAAAAATTAATTATTGCAAAATTGCAAACAGTATTATAAAAACTGCTTATACTATCTGATAGAAGACACTTTTCAATTTGTACTTACGTTTTTAAAGTTCTATTTTTACCTTTTGTTTAAGAAATATTGTCTAAAAACAAAGTGGTATGTCGGTATCGGACTTTCCTCTAAATTAAATAAGTAAAAGTAGATATAGAAAAAGTCAATGCATTAAAACTATTTGTATTGTTTTTTAGGGAAAATTAATTGCAAATGCAACATATGAAATGCTGTGGTATGATATGCCCGTAAATACGGAAAAAATTTTAATGTTTATAATAATGAGATCTCAAAAGCGATTGACGATTACTGCAGGGAAAATGATAGATATGTCATTCGAAACTTTTGCGAATGTAATCTTCTAAATTTTGACATTTCTTTATTTTTACTTATCATTAAATTTGGCATTTTCTAAAACACTGTTTCATGTTTATATGGATCGTATAAATTAAATTAAATTTTTTGTAATATTTTTTTAGATCATGAAGGCATCAGCATCTTATATATCTGTTTTGAATGCTATGTATTAATACTACCAAGGATTTGTTATTTTCTGAAGTTATAATAAAATTAATATTAGTCAATAAGTTAAAAATATTGTAAGTGAATTAAAAAATTAGTTGTTATTAAAATTAACTACTGTGTATTACAATTAACTACTATTAACTACTATTAAAATAATTGCTTCTTTCTTATTATTGCTATTTATCTTATTTTAAAAAAATACATATTGTGTTTACGTCATATGTTTTTGGATATTGTCCCTTAATTCAAAGCTTAATCCAGAGGATAGTACATTTGATTCGTGTAAACATATGAAAGTCATATTCGATTTGCATGAACATATTTTATTCATATTTAACATTAACTTTTTTTATAATGTATAATGTTCAAAACTTTTACTTTTAATATTCCTCTACCAAGAGAGTCTTTAATATAATTATGTTTCCAGAATTGTTAGAAAAAACTATTCAGTCATTTTATCTCTAATCAATAGAACTTTTTTGTTCTCTAGTTATTTTATTTCTAAGATCGGCGGTTGAATGACATAAAATACAATCCATTTCTGTTTTTTTAGAGAACCTAATGTATAGTCACAACTATACTATCATAATACGTTTAATAATTCTCGTAATTGATAAGAATCGTGCAGAAACACATTTATTTCTTGTTGACGATATTGCGTTGCTAAAGAAACACGTTTGCAAAAAAGAAATTAGTCCTCAAGAAAGTTGTTATTTTTTACTTCAGCAGAATAATATCGTTGTTACTTCATGGTCGGAATACACGTTATTAGATTGCTAATGAAATTATAGGATGTTCATGCAAATGAGTTCTCTCTTGTCTTATAGCATCGTGCGACATGTAACAGCGATTGATCCATATTCACTAGAGTGGGGATGCACGGTGTGGGGATGCACTTGAAAAATCAGACGGTGGACTTTTATTTCCTTATTAACCAGAGTAGCGAACAAATGTGCTAAAACATTATTATTTTCTTAAATTTATTGGCAAATGACAATTACAAGTACTGTCAGCCCAGCGCTGAGATTTGGTCTTCGTTTCTTTGGCTTTTGGCCGGGTGTGTCATACTCTATAATTTATTGGTTGAGTTTTATGTCAAGTATGCTGATTATACAGTACTTTCAATATTTGTACACGTTTGATCATTTGAAGATCAGCGAGTTATCAAATCTTGCTGACAGTTCGCTTTTTACTCTGGATTACAGTTTAACATGTTTTAAAATGGCTGGTTTATGGATACATCGTCGGTAAGATAATGTAATATATTGCTTAATATTTCAACTTTACTTGAAATCGTCGCGTTCGAGAAATAAGTTTGTTTTTAATTTCTAACATATATTCTTGATCTGATTTTTTCTAATTGAAAGTGGTTTAATTTATACCTAAATCCGAAGTAGAAAGGTGATATCAAATGATGTCTTAAGAGCGTCTTTAACTTCAATAAGACGTCATCTTACTACTTGTTCATTCATTTTAATTTAAACATTGAAATATACTGCAACATTATTTGAAAAGAAAATAAGTATTATTTATATCTATGATATTTGATTAAAGCACCGTGTTAAGTAATGTCTATATTGCAGAATCCTTCATAAAATTTTGGCCGATATGGATAATGATTGGCGCGAATGTACCAACATCGAGAAATATTTGCATATGATGACAATTAAAGCTAATATATCGCATTTCTTCTTTAATGCTTTATTAAGTTGTAATATGATCATTTCAATAATTTATCTCTTAGGCGATTACATAATTTGTTCCGTATTTCTAAATGAAAATTACAATAATACTGTACGGCAGCTTCCTATAAAAATACAATTTCCATTTGAAATTCAACAATCACCTAAATTTGAATTTATTGCTGTTATAATATTTATACATACGTTATTACAAGTATGGACGAATACTATTGTAAATGGATTGGTCATTACTTTGGTAACTTATATTGTACATACATTCGTTATTTTCAATTTTTATTAATTTTTATACAACATTTATACAAACTCATAAGCATAACGCTGTTGCATGAAGATTTCTTTGAAGCAATTTGTAGAATTTCGTTTTGTAACATAGTATAAAAATACATGCTACTAATTTCAAACTTCAAAGTATAATTAATGTCGGTATTAAAAATATTTTGCGGTTAAATTATATAAATTAAATATATTATGTAAGATTACTGTACTTATTGAACCTTGTATTAAAAACATTTGAAATAGTAAAAAATTTTTTTATATGTAATAATTGTAATTTTTGCAAAAATTTAAGTATATTTTAGGCGCTCCATGTAAGCGGGCAAATTGATATCATTTGTCAAGGATTTAAAGATATTTCTGAGAATACTCTTCGTTATGAATCTTCCATGTCATCATTAAAAATGCTGATCGAGAGACACAAAAGAGTTATTTCTTTTTCCGAGAACATGGAACGACTCTTCTCTTTCATCGCATTAATGCAAGTTGTTTGGAATACCTTAGTAATTTGCTGTCTAGGATGTCTCTTCATAATTGTAAGTACTGTAATAAATGTATGCAATGTTATATATTTTATTAATTTGTATTTATTAATATAGTCTATTCACCATGAAACTGGTATTTTCGCGTTAATGAAAACCGTTTTTGCTTACTTTGCCATAACGATGGAACCCTTTATTATTTGTTTTGCCGGAGAATATCTTACCTACAAGGTGAGCAAGAGTGTGTGATTATCTATAAATATACAATTTTTTAAACACAACATAGCTAATAATGTAATAAACATTATAATAATACATAACGTTATCTTCTAATAAAAATATTTTGATGAAATATATACATAAAATATTATTTCAGATAATCAATTTCTTAAATAATAACACTTTTTTTTCGAAAAAGGTTTATTTTCTCTAAACATATAATATTTAAAAAAAAGCGATGACAATATATTTTATATAAAGTTTCTAATAAGTTATTTAAAATTGTATAAATATTCATAAACTACGTATTTACTAACGTTCGTAAAGTTATTATTTATTATAAAGTTTCTATATTTAAAAAATGGAACGAAATTAGTAAATGAATTTTTTATATTGTCGCTACAAAGGCTTATTGTTTAAAACTGTCTTAAATACAGTCATAAATAATATAATTAGAAATAATATAATTTGAAAGCACTCACATAATCTTTAAAATAACAACAAACAAAGAAATTGAAGGCTAATGAGAGTCAGCGCGAAAGAGGATACGTAAATTATTAAATTGTCATAATTAAATGTAATGAATGTCATAATTAATAGTCATAATTGTCATAAATTAATCACAGAGCCGTATAAGAATCTTAAAATATTCCTTAAGACAGTTTTAAAATAAGAATCGAGTATGAATATTGGCCTACATTTTCACAATGTGAATAAAAAAATATTTTTATACTGAATTTAACAGATAAAAATAATCACAAAAAGATTTGCTGTATATCATTTTTAGAGCAAATTAATTGGCAGTGCAACATATGAAATGCTATGGTATGATATGCCGTCAAATTATAGTAAAATTATAGTGTTTATAATAATGAGATCACAAAAACGACTGGCAATTACGGCAGGAAAAATGATGGATATGTCGTTCGAAACTTTTACAAATGTAATCTTTTAAATTTTTTGGATGTCTAAAAATTAATTTTAATTTACTTACAAATTAATTTTAAAATTTGCTGCTACGTGTTTCCGTTATAAGTAAGTATAATTTATTGTAGATCTAATTTAATTTTTTGACTTGAATTTTTTAGATTATGAAGGCATCAGCATCGTATGTATCCGTTTTAATCGCCATGTATTAACATCAACAAAATACAGTACGATATCTATTTGCTGAAATTATAGCATAGTTAATTTAAAACAAGTTAAAAATATTTGTAATGACCCAAGCAGAACTACAAGTCATCATGACATCAAAAGTCATTGTTCAATTTACGATTTATTTTTATATCATTTTGACGTTGTCGTGACTTATTGTTTTACTTAGGGGAATTAGATTGTTAAATTGTCATATTAAGCTGGTGACTGTTACTTGTTAACAATCAGTTAATAAAATATAAAAATTTAAATTGCATTTAACAGAAACATTATTAATGTAAATGCAAATAATCTTATATGTATATATGTATATCTTGCGTATTATAATTATTATAATGTTGTCCCTCCAGCCCGAAATCATCCCGAAATTTTAGATAATAGTTTACACTCTTGGCCGTTGAGGGAAACAGCATATATTTTTTATGGTTTCGGACTACATAAAAATTTGAAAAAATTCCTGTATGCTTGTAAAATCTTTAACAATAAGTTTTTACTATAATAAAAACTGGACTGTATTTGATTTATTTCTCATATATTGAAATCTGAATAAGAATTTTAAGAAAACGTGATATCGATTGTGCCTTAAAAGGCACAAAGTGATGCTGGAGGGGGTTATACATTATTACTTAAAAACATAAGCTTGCAGTGATATACATTGGCTGTATTAGTCGTTTGAATTGATAATTTTTTATTACAGAATTGTATATTTGACTCGCATTTTATTGAATTATTTATAATTGGACGCCTATATTATATACAATTGCAATTTTTATTTTTAAATTCAATATGTAAGTTTTACGGATAAACGTTTTTAAATTATTAGTAGTAATTACTAGTTATTTCATTTCAATTCAAGACAGTTTTGTTGTCCTTTCCTCATCACATTTCATTAAAAATCATTAAAGGTATGAACGTAATTTATTTTTGTTTTTTTAAAGTACCTAATATATATAAACATCATATCATTCATTTAATATTTTCATGAAAAGTAAGAATTGTGATGAACATCTCTTTGGATATTTGTTTCTTGTCCATACAAAAAAGAATAATTATTTCTTAGAGAATTTTTTTTTAATTACAGTAATAAATCTTTGTTTCTTTTTTATTTTAGCAGTACAATATCTTCATGTCGGAATACACGTATATCGAATATATTAATCGAATTCAATTTTTTAATTTATATTTTTGTAGATCATATGAAGGCCTCAGCATCTTATACATATATCAGTTTAGAATGCTATATATTCGATATGAGATATCAACAAAAACATGCGCTAATAATTGGAATTATAACATAAATGATAAAAACAAATAAGTTACAAAATATAAATTAATTATTGCAATAAATTAAAGATTTCATTGTTATTAATAAAATTAATTAGCATTTATTAACTGTCAATTAATAAACTACAAAAATTAAAAGTGCAATCTAATATACAAATATATACATTTATATATCTACGTGTATATTTGTATTAGGTGCATTTTGAGCATTATCTCTTAATCTTAATCATATGATCGCATATTTCAATTGCAGATACATATTTCGTTGTTTCTACTGCAGTTAATTATTTATAACATCTGTTGTTCCTAAATTTTATTTTTAATGTTTTTCTAAGCGATTCTTTAATATAGTTTATAAATACGTTCCTAGAACTAAAGAAAATTACTCATGGTCAGTCATTATACTCTCATTCGTAGAATTTCTTTATTTTTCCCCTTACTTTATTTTTTCAAAGATTAAAGGTTGAATGGCATAATTACAATCCACTTCTATTTAGAATACCTTATGTATAATCGCAATCATATTATCATGATACTTTTAATGATTACCGCAATTGACAGGAAACGTAGATGTTTGTTTTTTGTTGATGACATATTGTTGCCACAGAAACAAGTAAGCAAAAAAAGAAGCTATCTCTTAGAGAATTGTTTTTATTTTATTTTACGGACACATCTTTGTTTTTTTTTGCATTAGCAGTATAATATTACGTTGGAAAATACATTATTAGATTGCTAATGAAATTATAAGATGTTCATCTAAATAATGAGTACCGTCTCGTCTCATTCTACTATGCGACATATAATAGCGATTGATCTGTGTTCTTCTGAGTGGGGATGCATCGTGTGGGGATAAAATGGATAGTGTACTCTCAGTTTCTTCTCAAACGAGCATACTAGATGCGTCTATATTGATCTTCATTTTCTTAAGTTTCAAAAAGTGTAGACGAAGGATTATGAGTACTGTCAGTCCGGCAGTGAAAATTGGCCTTCGACTTCTCGGCATATGGCCAGATGTGTCATATTCTACTACTTATTGGTTGAGTTTTATGTCGAGTATGTTGGTTATACAGTACTTTCAATATTTATACATATTTGAACATTTGAGTATGAGCGAGCTGTCAAATCTTGTTGATGGACTGCCTATGACTCTTGATTATAGTTTGACATTTTTTAAATTAACAAGTCTGTGGATACAACGTCGGTAAGAAATTATATTAACAGAAGTTACTAGTGGCTCACGCTGGACTTTTTGTTTAGGCAATTTAATATTTCGGTTATAGAAAAATATAATTATACAATAATTTTTCATATATGTGAATACTTAATTATGATTTATCTTATATTGGTGTTATATTTCCTTTTTTTATTATAATGTATATATACATTATGTACATTATATATGTATATATTATAATGTATACATATATGTATAACGTATATTGTATTATTATAACGATAATTTTTGTAATTTTTAAAACCATTACTATACATATTATTTAACAAATATAACAAACGCAAAAAAATACATTACTGGTTACTAATGATGAATAACCCACGCGACGTGATGGTTAAGTTATTTGAAACTGGACCAGCACGATATTTATTATCATACAGTGAACAAGTAGCTCAACTACGTATTATTCAAAAATGAGATTCTTCTTTGGTATCCTAACATTGCATGTATTTCGGATGTGATATTTTTTAATATAACGTTGCATAATACCATCTAAATGTTATTTAAAATATTAATGCCTATAATATTGATGATTTCTTACAAGACAGTGTAATATGTTTATCTAAAACATTTGATGAAATAAATAAAATATTATAGAAGTCTTCATAAAATTCTTGCTACTATGGATAATGATTGGCGTGAATGCATCAATACCGATCAGCATTTATATATAATGACAATTAAAGCGAATATATCGCATTTTATATCTAATGTTATATTGAGCTTTACTGCCATCGTTGCCGCACTTTATCTCTTAGGCGAATACGCAATTCGTTTCGTATTTCTAACCAAAGATTATAATGACACTTTAAGACAGCTTCCTTTAAAGTTGCAATTTCCTTTTGAAACTCAACAATCGCCGATATTTGAACTTCTTGCTGTAACAATATTTTTACATGTGATGTTACACGTATGCACGGTCGCTATTCTAAATGGATTGATCTTTACTTTGGTAATTCATATTTTATATATATCTGCCTGTGATTTCTATTTATTTATGTTTTATTATCAAAGCAATTTATAACGCAATGTTATAAAAGCAAAACCTATTATAATAAATTTTTTGTTTTTAATTTGTTAACTTTAGTCATATGTGAACTATGCCATTTCTGTCTATAAGACATTTTAAAATGAAATGCTACTGTAAAAACATTTAAAATGAATTTTATTAAAATGTAGTATATAAAAGTATCTTATATTTATATACTTGAAACACATTCTTTATAGTAATAGTTTTCCTTACACGTAATAATTGTAATTTTTACAAAAACTGAAATATATTTTAGGTTCTACACGCAAGCGGACAAATTGATATAATATGTCAAGAGTTCAAAAATATTTCCGAAAACACTCTTCTTTATGGATCTTTGGTACCTTCATTCGGAATGTTGATCGAGAGGCATAATAGAATAATTTCATTTTCCAAGAACATTGAACAACTCTTCTCCCTCATCGCATTGATGCAAGTTGTTTGGAACACGTTAGTCATTTGCAGTATAGGATTTCTCTTAATAGTGGTAAGTACTAATAAATACATGATTATTGGTGCTTGTAGATATCTTTTATTTTTTGTATTATTTGTCAAACTAGTCTATGCATAATGAAGCTGGTGTTTTCGTATTAGTGAAAACCCTTTTTGCTTATTGCGTCATAACGATTGAAGCCTTTATCATTTGTTTTGCTGGAGAACATCTTAGCCTCAAGGTGTGTATTCAAAAGTCGTTAATCAAAAATACATTATTTTTTATACAACGTAATTGTGTTATTTTTATGATAAGGATGTACAGTATTGTTTTCTAATAAAAGCATTTCAATATGTTACAATATAATATCATTAAAAAAATTAAACTTATAAATAAATCTTTATTATTTTTTATAGAAATATTTCTTTATAATATATTGTAATATTATAATTGTGATTTATTTTTTGTTATAAAAGATTACTAAAATCGCAATATGGTCTGTTTATCAGTAAATTTTTGTTGTAACTAAAAGACCTTCTATGTTTTAATATAATACAAAAAAATTTCATGAAAAATTTGATATTGTTGTAACAAATATTCTTGTTTTTTAATTAGTTTAATATCTCGAGAACTCAATTCGTATTTTTTCTTTATTTATTTAAATATTCTTGTAACGTCGCGATAACACAAAAGATGCTTTTCTGTTAAATAAGTTGAATACATAAAAAAGCCAATCTATTTGAAATTATTTGTATTATTTTTTAGAGCAAATTAATTGCAAATGCAACATATGAAACACTGTGGTACGATATGCCATTAAATACAGAAAAAATTATAATGTTTATAATAATGAGGTCTCAGAAGCGACTGACGATCACAGCAGGAAAAATGATAAATATGTCATTTGATACTTTTACGAATGTAATCTTTCAAATCATTTGGGCACCTTTTATTTTACTTATCGTCAATATTTTCTAAAACACTTTTCTATAACACATTTAAATCTTCTATAATTTCTACTTTTTTAGATCATGAAAGCATCAGCGTCTTATATATCTGTTTTGAATGCTGTATATTGATATTATCAGGACTTGTTACTTTCTATAGTTATAACATAATTTATATAAGCTATAATGTTAAAAGGTACATGGAAATTGAATTAAGAATTCAAATGTTATTATCATACTATTTTTTACACTATCAGTTATAATGTATTACATAAGTTGTATTTATTATATAAAATTAATTTAATTGGAAATAACTTCTTTTTCCTCGTACTATTATTTATTCTTATTTAAAAATGATATATATATTATATTATATATTTTTGAGCATTGTCTCTTAATAAAAACTAGAGGATAGCATATTCGATTTGTATAAACATATTTCGTATATGATTTATTAATTGTATTGATAATGTCTTCTATTCAAAACTTTTACTTTTGAAATTTCTCTTCCTTGCGAGTCTTTAATATAATTATGTTCCTGGAATTATTAGAGGAAATTTACAATCATTACCATATATCTCCAACTATACAGTTCCTTTGTTCACCGATTATGTTATTTCTTTTGGGTTGAATGACATGAATGCAATCAATTTCTTTATTTGTCGGAAAATCTAATGTGTAATCACAATTATAATATAATGATACATTTAATAATTTTCGTAATCGGTGGGAATCGTGTAGATGTTTATTTGTTGATGATATTGCGTTGCTAAAGATACAAATTGAAAAAGAACTATTCTTCAGGGAATTGTTTTTTTATTTATCAGTATAATACGGTCGAAGTACATGTTATTAGATTGTTAATGAAATTATAGGATGTTCATGCAAATAATGAGTTCTGTCTTGTCTTATTATTGTACTGTGCGACATATGATAGCGATTGATCCGTATACATCGGAGTGGGGTCGCACCGTGTGGGGATGCACTTGGAAAATCAGACGGTGCACTTTCATTTCCTTATTAACCAGAGTATGGAACAAATGCATTAAAACAGATTATTATTTTTTTAAATTTATTGGCAAATGACAATTACAAGTACCATCAGCCCAGCGCTGAAGTTTGGTCTTCGTTTTTTTGGCTTTTGGTTGGATGTGTCGTATTCTACCATTTATTGCTTGGGTTTTATGTCAAGTATGCTGATTATACAGTACTTCCAGTATTTGTACATTTTCGATCATCTGAAGATCAGCGAATTATCAAATCTTGTTGACAGTTCGATTATTACTCTGGATTACAGTTTGACGTTTTTTAAATTGGCTGGTCTGTGGACACATCGTCGGTAAGGTACTATAGTATACTGTGTAATATTTTAATTTTACTTAATCGCCGTATTCAAGAAAGAAATTTGTTCTTCAGTTTCCTAACATATTGATCAAATTTTTTCTAACTAGAACTTCTTTTAATGTAAATAAGTCGTTATTAAAACGTCACCTTGTTATTCGGAATTTTAATTCAAACATTGAAGTATACAGCATTAATTGAAGAGAAAATAAATATTATTCATATCTCAACTCTAAATCTGATTAGAACAACATGTTAAAGTAATGTATATTTACAGAGTCCTTCATAAAATTTTGAAGGATATGGATAATGACTGGCACGAGTGCATCAACATTGACCAACATTTGTGTACGATGACAATTAAAGCTAATATAGCGCATTTCTTTTCTAACGCTTTATTAAGTTGTAATGCGATTATTACAGTAGTTTATCTCTTAGGCGATTACGTAATTCGTTTCGCATTTCTAAATGAAAATTACAATAATACTGTGCGGCAGCTTCCTATAAAAATGCAATTTCCATTTGAAATCGAACAATCGCCTATATTTGAACTCATTTCTGTAATAATATTTTTATATACAATATTACAAGTATGGACGAACACTATTCTAAATGGATTGATTTTTTCTTTGGTAACTCATATTGTATATTTCTTATTTTCAATTTTTCATACAATAAAGCGATTTATAGAACTTATGATTATTTATATAAATGTTTATGCATGAAAGGTTTTCATGAAGCAATTTGCATAATTTTATTTTATGTGATATAACTCAACATACATGATGCATTTATGTAGTATCTTCAAAATACTAATGTCATATTGAATATTAATGTCATATTGAATATTTTTGCGGGTAAATTATTGTATATAAATTAAATGTATTATGTAGGATTACGATACTTATTGAATTTTTGTACAAGAAGCATTTAAAATAGAAAAAAATTTTTATATGCAATAATTGTAATTTTTGTAAAAATTTAAATATATTTCAGGCACTCCATATAAGTGGGCAAATTGATATTATTTGTGAAGAATTTAAAAATATTTCTAAGAATAATCTTTGTTATGGATTTTCCATATCATCATTGGGAATGCTGATCGAAAAACACAAAAGAATCATTTCATTTTCAGATAATATGGAACGGCTTTTCTCTTTTATCGCATTAATGCAAGTTGTTTGGAATACCTTAGTTATTTGTTGTCTAGGATTTGCCTTCATAATGGTAAGTACTACAATAACTGTGTGCAATGTTGTGATTTTTATCATATTTTTCACTTATTTTTATTTACTTAATAATATAGTCTATCCATAATAAAACTGGTGTTTTTGCATTAATGAAAGCTGTTTTTGCTTATCTTGCCATAACGCTGGAAGCTTTCATTATTTGTTTTGCCGGAGAATATCTTAGTTACAAGGTAAGCAAGAACGGTTACCTGTAAATGTACAATTTTTTTAACACAACATAACTGTACAATAATGAATATTATATAATAGATATAACATTATTTTGTAATAAAAATATTATAATTTTAACGTACTTGAAACATTATATAAAACGATCAATTTCTAAAATAAGAACGTCTTTATTTTAGAAAATTTTATTTTGTAAGTACGTGATATATATTTTTAAAGGTAATGATAATTATTCATATCTGTTATAATAAAAGTCATCTAAAATAATAAAATGTTTATCAGCCAATTATTAATTACAAAGTCTTTTATTTTAAATAAATTAAACATAGAAACGAAGTTATTCAAAAATTTCTGATATTTTGATCTATAATATTTGTACAATATGAACGATAGAAAGCTCTTTTATGTCAAAATTAATTACAAAGGATTAGCTACATTTGCATTTTAGGGCAAATCAATTGGTAGTGCAACATATGGAATGACGTGGTATGATATGCCATCAAGTCACAGTAAAATTATAGTGTTTATAATAATGAGATCACAAAAGCGACTAGCGATTACAGCAGGGAAAATGATGGATATGTCATTTGAAACTTTTACGATTGTAATCTTTTAATTTTTTAGATGTCTGATAATTAATATAATATAATTTTTATTTATTTTGATCTATGTATCTATTATGTCTAAATATAATTTGTAGGTCCAGTTTAATTTTTGAACTTGAATTTTTTAGATTATGAAGGCGTCAGCATCATATGTATCTGTTTTGATTGCCATGTATTGACATCAACAAAATAGTACGATATCTATCTGCTGAAATTATAGCATAGTTAAGTTAAAAATGTTTGTAATGAATTAGAACTTAAATTATCATATTAAGCTCGTGTCTGTTATTTATTAATTATGAATTATTAATTATTAATTAATAAATAATACAGATTTAAATTGCATTTAAGAGAATAGTTATTAACGTAAATGCAAATAATCTTTTATATCTCGTGTATTATAATAATATTGTTCATTCTTACTTAACAAAATAAGATTGCATTAGTATACAGGCTACGTTAGCTTTTTAATCGATGACTTTTTATTACAGGATATTTAACTTGTATTTTATTGGATTATTTGTAACTGAACGTCTATATTACCTCCAACTGCAATTATTTGTCCAATATGCAAGTTTGACGCAAAAACATTTTTTTAATTATTAGTGGAAATTACTAATCACTTCATATTCAGTCAGAGAGTTCTGTTGTTTTCCCCTCATCATATTTCTTCAAAGACTGGAAAATCAATTAAATGAACGCAATTTATTTCCGTTTACTTAGAATACCTAATACATGTAAGCACCATGTCATGCACTTATAATAATTTCATGAAAAGTAGGAACTATGGTGAACATCTGGACTTTTGCTTCTTGCCTATAATATTGCGTTTTAAAAAAAATGCAAAGAAGAGGTAACAGTCTCGCAGTAAATGATCTTTTTTTGTATTATCTTAGCTGTACAATATCTTTATTACTTTACGGTCAAAGTATTATACATTATTAGACTGTTTATGGAATTATAGTATTATAAAATTATGGACTTTCTTTCGTCTTATCATCATACTGGGCAACGTATAATGGCGATTGATCCATATTCATTGAGTGGGGATGCACCGTATGGGGATACACTTGGAGAAATGGACAGTGCTCTCTCATTTTCTTCTCAACTAGAGTACAGAATAAATGTGACGAAATTAACTTTTATTTCTTCACGTTTTTAAAATTTTTGGCAATGATCACATCTAGTATTAGTCCAGCATTGAAAGTTGGTCTCCGATTTCTTGGCATGTGGCCAGGTGATTCATATTCTACCATTCATTGGCTGAGTTTTATGTTGAGCATGCTGATTATTCAGTACTTCCAATATTTGTACATATTTGGTCACTTAAAGATGAGCGAGTTGTCAAATCTTGTTGACGGTCTGATTGTGGCTTTAGATTACAGTTTGACGTTATTTAAATTGACCAGTCTGTGGGCACATCGTCGGTAAGTTATCATGTATTATGTAATGCTTCAACTCTATCTCTATGCTGTACAGCCTACAACTATATCAAAAAACAAAATTTTCCCTCAGTTTCTTAACATTCATTCTCTAAGTGGATTTATTCTAAGTGGAAGTGATTATATGTCTAAATCTTATTTAAATATTGAAAAATATGTACAACATTGATTGTTAAAATAATTATGTAATGTCCCTTTTCGTACCGAATATGTTGTATAAACCATTTTTCTGTGTGTTTTCAAATTTTGCAAATAATTAAATCAGTCACATTATACGAATCATCCTGTATATCATTTTTTCCCGGATCTTATAAAAGAAAATATATAATGTGACTATCTGAAATACATCACAAATTAAAATAACATATTGCAGAGTTTTTCATAAAATCCTGGCTACTATGGATAATGATTGGCACGAGTGCATCAATGTGGATAAGCATTTATACTTGATGACAATTAAAGCGAATGTAGCACGTTTTATATCTAACATTTTACTGAGTGTTAATGCGGTCGTCGCAGTACTTTACCTCCTAGGCGACTACGTAATTCGTTTCGTATTTTTTACTGAAAATCAAAATGATACTTTACGGCAGCTTCCTATAAAAATACAATTTCCCTTTGAAACTCAACAATCGCCAACGTTTGAGTTTCTCGTTGTAACATTATTTTTACATGTGGCAATACACGCATGCACAATCGCTATTTTAAATGGATTAATCTTGACTTTGGTAACGCATATTCGTATATGTATATTCTATTATGATATATTATGTAATTGATTAATTTGTAACGCATAATTGTGAACAAATTAAAATTTTTCTTTACATTATATAATTTTGTTGACACACTGTTATATTATTGTGTAAAACATTCTAAAGTATTAATGTCAATGTTAGAAAAATTTTACAATATAATTTCTACACGATAACTTTATTCGTAATTAAACGTATATTACATAATAATATTATTTCAATAATATCATTTTTATCGAATTGCTATATTTGCAATGTTTCCTTCAAAAAATCTCTTTACCTGATAATAATTATGATTTTTTGTGAGAATGTAAGTGTATTTTAGGTACTTCACGTAAGCGGACAAATTGATATAATGTGTCATGAATTTAAAAATATTTCTAAGGGATCTCTTCTTCATGGATCTTACGAGTCTTTTTTTGGATTGCTGATTGAGAAGCATAATAAAATTATTTTATTTTCCAAGAACATTGAGACACTCTTCTCCTTTATTGCATTAATGCAAGTTGTTTGGAATACGTTAGTTATTTGCTGTTTAGGATTTATCATCGTAATTGTAAGTACTAAAATATATATGCGCGATGATTGATTATACGTATTCATTTTTCTTTTTATAATTCGTTGAATTAGTCTATTTATAACGAAACTGGGATTTTCGTGTTAGTGAAAACTATTTCTGGTTACTTCGTTATAATGATTGAAGCCTTTGTCATTTGCTTTGCCGGAGAATATCTTAGCTTAAAGGTAAATATTCATCACATAGCAAGTTGTACCAATGCAGATGCTTTTAATCACATAATTATATTGACATGATGATGGAGATACAATGTTGTTTTTTAATAAAAATATTTATTATTTAGCAATACTCAAGATATCACTTAAGAAATTCATTTTTTTAAATGAAAATGTTTTTTTATTGTAAATAATATTTATTTCTTCAATGTATAGTAACATGATGTTTCAACACAAATGAAATATTACAAATTTAATTAATTGATTTTACTACTTCTCTGCTATAATTTCTTTACTTCTTCTAATATTTTGAAATCTGTAAATAACATTCTTTTAATATCGATAATAATATTAGAAAGATTACTGTGAAATAGATTATACAATTATGTACAAAAAGTTGTTGCATTTTCATTACCTTTAGGGCAAATCAATCGCCAATGCGATATACGAATCGCTGTGGTACGATATGCCGTCAAATGAAAATAAAATTATAATATTTATAATAATGAGGTCTCAAAAACGACTGACGATTACGGCAGGAAAAATGATGGATATGTCATTAGAAACATTTACTCATGTAATTTTTTGAATCTTTTAAATATAATTATCACGAAATAATTCTATACATATTTTGCTTATTTTTTAATCTACTATTGTATATATATGTGTGTGTGTGTCTCTTATGATTAAATATAATTTATACTTCCAACTTAATTCCTTAACTTGTATTTTTTTTAGATTATGAAGGCGTCAGCATCGTATGTATCTGTTTTAAATGCTATGTATTGATATCAACACGAGATATTAACATGCCGTATTTATTTGGTGCAATTATAATGTAATTGATAGATGATAAGTAAAAAAATATTTACAATAAATTAAGACTTAAGTTTTTACTGGCAACTATCTTATTAATAACTGTCGATTAATAAATTACACAAATTGAAATTATATTGAAATTATATAATATAAAAACATTTAATGTTAATGTAAACAAATTTTTAAATATTATTCTTAAGAGCAATATTTACTTATGTATTACGTCAAGCATTGACTTTTTATTCATATCATGACCTGGATAACATGTTGTACCTCTTAATTTCATTTTTGCACTGAAAATTCATTTTCCTATAAAAATGAAAATAAGAGGACAACCTTCAACGGCTTTGATAAATGTTATTCAGATCATGAATTTTAACAACGTTTAAGAAGATTTGGTCGGACTCTTTGAGTAATGTTAATGCCAACAGTACACCCAAAAAAATATTTTGCCGATAAGCGGGGAATTCCTCTTAGCATTTCCTTTAAGTAAAAAATCTTACATTAATCTTACATTAATTAGGTGCGTGTATTTATGACACGTATTCATCTATAAAAATGAGGACACATGAACTATTATCAAAAATAAATTCCTCTATAGAAAATTCTATTGTAATAACTTGAATAACCTTTTGAAATAAGAGGATATATAAAATACTTGCAGCACGCTTATTTGTTAGAAGAAGTTTGTCATTTACGTGCTACCGTAGTAAGCGTACATGTCAGTACATGCAAAACATTCTTTTAGTATTGAGAGGATTGCAATTTTAAATCCAGTACATTATGGTTATACGAAATTCCTTTACTTTGTAGAGTATCCTCTTGAAGTCATATATAAATGGAAAATCCTCTGACATTAACACGGAATTGCTAAATGGCAGAATATTTTTTTTTTGGATGTATGTATCATTCATCAATGATACATCATGCACATTATGCGTGAAACGGAACGCACTTCTAGCGTTGTGTCTTAGCATTATTTTCTTATTAAGGCCGAGTTTCACATTTTATGATTAACTCTTAAGGGGATCTCAAAAATGCTGTTTTACCAATTATTTTTCAAATAAGTATTTTTCTAACTGCCTTTACATAATTAAAAATCCTTCTCCACATGTAAAATATATGTGATAATGTAGTTCAAACTGATTGATTTCGTGCGAAAAACGAAAAAAAAGTTGGAAAATTACAGTCTTTTTATCGGCTTCTGGCGTCGACTCGTAACAATACTTGCTTTATATAAAAGTTTTGTACTTTGTACCTTTAAAATAAGTTTAGATTAGGGATGACATGAACAACCAATGTTGAGTACTTAAAATTAGGTTTAGATACTTAATACGAAAGATTAGTTAGAAAATTTTTATGTATGTGTACGTGAGATATTGGTGCGATAGTACATAAAGACATACGCTGGAAAAACGGCGACCTTTGGTGATTTCATCTGAGTTCGAGCTTTGCTTTAGGATCCCGTTAACCGAGAGTTGTGAAATTGGGTCTAAGGCTCTTTTTTGTCAACCTCAGTTAAATTAACCGACGATTACAAGGTTGCTAACGTGATAACTGCAAATGGCTAATTATACGGGGTCTTTTTTGTCCCACCAATTAACGCCGTGCTCAGCTAGTCGAGCGCCAATTGGCAAAAGTGGAGAGGCAGACTCTCGATGATGCCCAAGACCAAAAGCCCATCATTGCTACCGCAGCGAGTTATGGCCGCAGCACAATCTCTTGCATAACGCATAATACATAGTGCATAAGGGAATCAACCAATCAAAATTCTTCTTTTTCATGGAATGGGATGAAAGAAAAGATTCTGATTAATTATTTGATTCGCTTATGCACTATGCGTTATGCGTTTATGCAAAAGTCTGTGTTGCGGCCTTTACTTGAGTATTTTTATAAGTTTACAACGCAGACGCATACCGGTATAGAGGTATACCTATCAATATGCAAGTTTGACACAAAAAAAGTTTTTTTAATTATTAGTGGAAATCAGGGTTGGGTAAGTTAACTTTTTTTTTAACTATTATAAGTTAGGTTAAAGTTAATAAATTGCGTTCATTTAATTGATTTTCCAGTCTTTGAAGAAATATGATGAGAGGAAAATAACACAACTCTCTGACTGAACATGAAGTGACTAGTAATTTCCACCAGGTCTAAAGTTAATAACCTTGAAAATTTAACTTAATTAAAATATATATAAGTTAATCCATAATGAAATTAATTGAATTAAAAGTTAAGTTAATAAAAAAAAGCAATTGAAATATTAAAAGTTAAATTTGGTCCGAACGAAAAACCAAAAAAAAAAGAAAAAGAAAAAGTTTGACCATTTTACATAATTTTTCGTATTTTTTTTCTCGCATCATATTTATTAAAGAATCTGATTATTTTTGTTCAAGTAACGATTATACAATATAAAATTACTAAATTATATACTCATTATCCTCTCGCATTGTGTCTGAGGAATGACTTAAAAAAATCAAATTAAAAGTTAATAGTTACTGATAAAATGTAACTAAATTAAGTCAAAAGGTTAAAAGTCTAAAATGTAACTAAAGTTAATTTAAAATTAATTAACTTTTTAACTTTTTAACTTAACTTCTATCTTTTTAACTTGGCTCTACTCAATCTTGATGGAAATTACTAGTCACTTCATGTTCAGTCAGAGAGTTCTGTTTTCCCCTCATCATATTTCTTCAAAGACTGGAAAATCAATTAAATGAACGCAATTTATTTCCGTTTGTTTAGAATACCTAATACATGTAAGCACCATGTTATGTACTTATAATACTTTCATGAAAGGTAGGAATTGTGGTGAACATCTGGACATTTTCTTCTTGCATGTAATTTTGCGTAAAGAAAAAAAAATGCAAAAAAGGTACGGTTTCGCAGTAAATGATCTTTTTTTTGTATTGTCTTAGCAGTACAATATCTTGATTACTTTACGGTCAAAGTATTGTATGTTATTAGGTTGTTTATGGAATTATAGTATTAAAAAATTATGGATTCTATTTCGTCTTATCACCATACTGTGCAACGTATAATAGCGATTGATCCATATTCATTGAGTGGGGACGCACCGGATGGGGATACACTTGGAGAAATGGACAGTGCTCTCTCATTTCTTTCTCAACAAGAGTACAAAACAAATGTACCGAAAGTAATCTTTATTTCCTCACGTTTTTAAAATCTTTGGCAAATGATCACATCTAGTATTAGTCCAGCATTGAAAATTGGTCTCCGATTTCTTGACATGTGGCCAGGTGATTCATATTCTACCATTTCTTGGCTGAGTTTTATGTTGAGCATACTGATTATACAGTACTTCCAATATTTATACATATTTGGTCACTTAAAGATGAGCGAGTTGTCAAACCTCGTTGACGGTCTGATTGTGGCTTTAGATTATAGTTTGACGTTACTTAAATTGACCAGTCTGTGGGCACATCGTCGGTAAGATATCATGCATTATGTAATTTTCAAACTCTCTCAACTCTCTCACTACAAGTCTACAACTATAACCAAGAAACAAGATTCTCCTTCAATTTCTTAACATTCATTCTCTAAGTGGATTTATTCTAAGTGGAAGTGATTATCGATCTAAATCTCAATTCAAATGAATGATAGTATATAAAACATTCCCCCCTCGGGTCTCATAAAAGAAAATATTATATATAATGTGACTATCTGAAACATATCACAAATTAAAGTAACATGTTGCAGAGTTTTTCATAAAATTCTGGCTGCTATGGATAAAGATTGGCGCGAGTGCATCAATGTGGATAAGCATTTGTACTTGATGACAATCAAAGCAAATGTTGCACGTTTTACGTCTAATATTTTATTAAGTGTTAATGCGGTCGTCGCAGTACTTTATGGCTTAGGCGACTATGTAATTCGTTTCGTACTTTTTAGTGAAAATCAAAATGATACTTTACGGCAGCTTCCTATAAAAATGCAATTTCCCTTTGAAACTCAACAATCGCCGACGTTTGAGTTTCTCGTTGTAACATTATTTTTACATGTGGTAATACATGCATGCACAATTGCTCTTTTAAATGGATTAATCTTGACTTTGGTAACGCATATTCGTATTTGTATATTTTATTATGATATATTATGTGATTGATTAATTTGTAACGCATAATTGTGAGCAAGTTCACACTACAATTTTTCTTTACATTATATAATTTTGTTGACGCACTATTATATTATTGTGTAAAATATTCTAAAGTATTAATGTCAATGTTAGAAAAATTTTACAATAATTTCTACACGATAACTTTATTCGTAATTAAACGTATATTACATAATAATATTATTTCAATAATATCATTTTTATCGAATTGCTATATTTGCAATGTTTCCTTCAAAAAATCTCTTTACCTGATAATAATTATGATTTTTTGTGAGAATGTAAGTGTATTTTAGGTACTTCACGTAAGCGGACAAATTGATATAATGTGTCATGAATTTAAAAATATTTCTAAGGGATCTTTTCTTCATGGATCTTACGAGTCTTTTTTTGGATTGCTGATTGAGAAGCATAATAAAATTATTTTATTTTCCAAGAACATTGAGACACTCTTCTCCTTTATTGCATTAATGCAAGTTGTTTGGAATACGTTAGTTATTTGCTGTTTAGGATTTATCATCGTAATTGTAAGTACTAAAATATGTATGCGCGATGATTGATTATACAGATATTCATTTTTCTTTTTACAATTCGTTGAATTAGTCTATTTATAACGAAACTGGCATTTTCGTGTTACTGAAGACTATTTCTGGTTATCTCGTTGTAATGATTGAAGCCTTTGTCATTTGCTTTGCCGGAGAATATCTTAGTTTAAAGGTAAATATTCAACACATAACAAATCGTATCTATGCATAAGCTTTTAATCACATAATTATATTGACATAATAATAAAGATTCAATGTTGTTATTTAATAGAAATATATAATATTTGGCAATACTCAAGGTATGACTTAAGAAATTCAATTTTCAAATGAAGATGTTTTTTTATTGCAAATACAATAATATTTATTTTTTCAATGTATAGTAACATGACGTTTCAACACAAATGAAGTATTACGAATTTAATTTGATTTTACTACTTCTTTGCTATAATTTCTTTACTTTTTCCAATATTTTTAAATTTATATATAACATTCTTTTAATATCGACAATAATATTAGAAAGACTACTGTGAAACAGATTATACAATTAGGTACTAAAAGAGGCGTTGTATTTGCATTACTTTTAGGGCAAATTAATCGCCAATGCGATATATGAATCGCTGTGGTACGATATGCCGTCAAATGAAAATAAAATTATAGTATTTATATTAATGAGGTCTCAAAAACGACTGACGATTACGGCAGGAAAAATGATGGATATGTCATTAGAAACATTTACTGGTGTAATTTTTTAAATCTTTTGAATATTTAATTATCGCAAAATAATTTTATACATATTTTGCTTATTATTTTTTAATCTACTGTTACATATGTGTGTGTCTCTAATTCCTTAACTTGTATTTTTTTTTAGATTATGAAGGCGTCAGCATCGTATGTATCTGTTTTAAATGCTATGTACTGATATCAACACGAGATATCATCATGCGGTATTTATTTGATGCAATTATAATGTAACTGATGATGATAAGTAAAAAATATTTAGAATATATTATATGACTTAAATTCTTATTGACAGCTGTTTTGTTAATAATTGTCGATTAATAAATTACACGAATTGAAATTTCATTTGTAATATCAAAGTATTTAATGTAAATGTAAACACAAATATTGAAATATTTTTTAATAATTTATTATGTAAGAGCAATATTTATTTATGTAAAACGTTAAGCATTGACTTTTTATTCATATTATGACTTGGATAACATTTATCAAGATCAAGACCATTAGAGATTATACTTCTTAGTTTTTCATTTTTGCACTGAAAATTCGTTTTTATATAAAAATGAAAATAAGCAGTACAATCTTCGACGCCTTAATCTTGATAAATATTATCCACATCATGATCTTTAGCAATATTTAAGAGGTTTAAGTCGTCGGTCGTACACTTTGGGTAATGTTAAGGCTGACAGTACTGTAACTTTCAAGCCGTATTACTCGAAAAGTACTTAATGAAAAAATATTTTAATACAGTATTTTGAAAAGATTTTGAGATAAGCTAAAAGAATGTATAATGAAAAATAGGTAGTTCCATTTAAAAAATTCAAATTGCCTTGCTCTGACCTTGACAACACCACTCAAGGTTAAACCAGTTATACCATCTTATATCCCCTTTGAAATCATGAAACTTTTGTTTGAAACATTTTTCTCTAAAATGCGCTGTTCAAGAGATATTTGAGATCGTCCTTTAAATTAGGGCACCTTGGATATATGGCCATATTTCGTACATAATATATATTTAAATATTTTTATATGTTTTTATATATATATGAATAATTTTTTAGTATTATGATTAATTTTTATAATATCTCTGCTAATGCAATATATGAATCGCTGTGGTATGATACACCGTTACATCAAAGTAAATTGATAATACTCATGATAATAGGATCGACTCAGAAGCGACTAGTGAAGTGACGGCAGAAAAAATGATGGACATGTCATTTGAAATTTTTACGAATGTAATATTTTGAAAATTTTTTTATACTTTTGTTTATAATCAATTTGCATGTATCCTTTATGCATAAATATAATTTATGGACAAAATTAATTTTTCTATTATTTTTTAGATCATGAAAGCAACAATATCATATGTATCCATCATGAATGCTACGTATTAATACGAGCAAAAACGAAATATATATTTGTCGTAATTATAATGTAATTATTGTAAGCCAATTTGTAAGACAGTATTGACAATGAATTTAAAACTAAGTTGTTATGAACAGCTTATTAATTGTTTCTTATTAGTTATTATTTAGTGAATTATATAAATTAAAAATTACATTTAATAAATACCAATTAATACAAATGCGAATAATTTTTTTGATTTCGTGTATTATTATTATATTCTAACAATTTAAATTCGCTAATACAGGCAAATAATGCTGCGCGGTTTTTGGTGCGCCAAATTAATAATTTAATTTTTTTCTATACATACAAATTGTCTGTTCGCATGTGTTTCGGAAGAGGCTTATCCAGCATTTACATATGAAAACTTTATCGATGGACACGCTCTAAACAAATTATTTTACTGAAGATGGCTCGGAAGGCGCTGAAACGTTCAAATATGTAATAAAGACGAAATACTGCGAACAGACAATTTGTATGTATAGAAATAAATTAAATTATTAATTTGGCGCATATATCAGAGAATCTAATAAAATATTATATTTCTATTATTATATTCACTGTATGTTTTTATTTAAAAGGATATTGCTGCGAAGAATGTTAGATGTTTTTAGGCATTGATTCTTTCCTAGAGAATCGTATATTGAGTTTGCGTATAAGCATATTTCGTTGGTTATAGACATATTGAAAACTAAATGTTTTTAATATCTCCAATTAAAAACTTTTTACTTTTAAAATTTCTTCTTCAAGCGAGTTTTCTGTATAATACTGTTTATAAAATCATTAAAAGGAATTACCCATCATTACACTTCTGTTCTCCCCTCACTTTATTTCTTTAAACACCAGAGGTTGAACTGCAAGAATATAATTCAGTTCCACACATTTGCTTAGAATATCTAATATATAATTAATGTTGTTCTATACAGAATGTAGTGGACATTTGCTTCTTTTTGATGGAATTATATTGCCAAGAGATAAGTTTCCAAGAAAAAGGAACTGACAATTATATATCTAGTTGTTCATCCAGAGTTCGATATTTTTATTACTTTGAAAATAATATACGTTGTTAGACTATCAACAGAAAATTACAGAAAGTCCATAAAAAATTAGCTCTATTTCGATTTGCTATTATACTACACAATACATGGCGATTGATCCATATTTACGCGAGTGGGGATCGTGTACCGTGTGGGGATACACTTGGAGAAATGTACAATACAGAGTCTCATTTACTTCTCGTCTAAAGTATCGAACAAATGCTCAAATACTAATTTTTATTTTTTTATGTTTTAAATACAATTGGCAAATGGTAATCACAAGTACTGTCAGCCCAGTGCTGAAAATTGGTCTTCAAATACTCGGCATTTGGCCGCGTGTTTCGTATTCTACTATTCAATGGCTGAGTTTTACGTTAAGCACATTGATTATACAGTACTTTCAGTATTTATATATTTTTGAACACTTGAAGATCAGTGAGCTCTCGAATCTCATTGACGGTTTGACTGTAACTTTGGAATACAGTTTGACGTTATTTAAATTGATTGGTCTATGGATACATCGTCAGTAAGATATTCTCTATGGAATGGTTCAACTGTGCTTAATCGTCGTATTCGAAAAACAAGATTTTCTATCAGTTTCTTAACACATTGTTTTATTTACCGTAATTGAAGTGATATAACATCATCATCTAAACTTTAGCTTAATCGTTCTTAAAACAACGTTGATCCATCGAAAAAAATGTAATTTTTTATTTGAAACATCTGACAGATTAAAATAATATATTACAGAGTTTTTCATCAAATCTTGGCTGCTATGGATAATGACTGGCACGAGTGCATCAATATGGATAAACATTTGTATATGATGACAATTAAAGCCAATATAGCACATTTCATTTCCAACGCTTTATTGAGTGTTAATGCAACCGTTGCGCTACTTTATCTTTCAGGCGATTACGTAATTCGTTTTGTGTTCTTAATTAAAGATCAAAATGATACTTTACGGCAGTTTCCTATAAGGATACAGTTTCCTTTCGAAACTCAACAATCGCCGATATTTGAGTTACTTGTTGTAACAATATCTTTACATGTAATGTTACATGTCAGCATACTTTGTATTTTAAATGGATTGGTTCTTACTTTGGTAACTATATGTTATATTTTATATATATATTTTCATCTGGATTAATTTATACTTAACGGAGCAATTTGTTGACGCAAGATTATAATATAATTATAACTAAAGTGGTTCAATCATTAATATTTCACTTTAAACATATTTATATAATTTTGTTACATAAGATTTGTTATATTTTTTACAAAAGTAAAAGTATAGAAGTGTAATTAATGCTTGTATTCGAAATTTTAGAATTAACTTAAAAAAAAAACTTTTTTGAACGAATAAGTATATTATATAAAAATATGTGCATTGTATTTGAAATACATTCATTATATCACGAGAATCTTTCATATATGTAATAATTATGCAAAAATTGAAGTATATTTTAGGTACTACATGTTAGCGGACAAATTGATATAATATGTTATGAGTTTAGAAAAATTTCTAGGAGTAATCTTCTTCATGAATCTGTGTCTTTATTTGGAATACTAATCGAAAGACACAACAGAATTATATCATTTTCCAAGAACATTGAAAAATTTTTCTCTTTTATTGCATTAATGCAAATCGTTTGGAATACGTTAGTTATTTGTTTTCTAGGATTTTTCATCATAATTGTAAGTTCTGTAATAAATGTGTAATAATGAACATCGTATAAATCAGTTTTCTTTTGATTGTTTATCGAACTAGTGTATTCATAGCGAAATTGGTATTTTCGTGTTAATAAAAACGGTTCTTTCCTACTTTGCTATAATGGCTGAAGCTTTCATAATTTGCTTTGCCGGAGAATACCTTAGTCTCAAAGTAAGTGTTTTAATAAGTATTTACGAAATGGTTAATCATAAAGACAAAATTTTCTGGCATTATATAATCATGAATATATCTCTAATAATTTAATGGTTTCAAAGAAATAAATCAAAATAAATATTTATTCTCATTTATATAATCATAGTATTATGATGAAATACATGATGTTGTTTTTTCTAGAGAGATAATATATATTTTAATATATTAAAGAGCATATAATATTATTCAAAATTATTTAATTATTCAAGTAACAACGTTTTTTAATTAAGAAATTTATTTTATAAATATAAGATATTTTAAGTGTAATGTTGACATTTCTAATAAAAAAATTATTGTTATAGGTCCAAAATATTGTCATTTCATTAAAAATCTTCCTTTATTAATCTTTCTCTCTTGTACTCTGTTCTTCTTTATTGTGTATTTATTTTTTAATATCTTAATATTGACAATAATAATTAAAGAAAGACTTTATTTGTCGAATAAATAGAATCAATAAATATTATTATGCAAAAAGCCGTTGCATTTAAAACTATTTGCTTTCAGGGTAAATTAATTACCAATGCAATATATGAATCGCTGTGGTATGATATTCCGTCTCGTCAAAGTAAAATGATAATATTTATAATAATGAGATCTCAGAAGCGATTGGCGATCACAGCAGGAAAAATGATGGATATGTCATTTGACACATTTACAAGTGTAATTCCTAAAATTTTTTGGTCATCTAATTCTTTAGGAATTTCATTTTGCTTATAATTAATCTGTTACTTGTATCCTTTATACATAAATATAATTTATAAAGACTTAATTCCTCTATTTCTGTTTTTTAGGTCATGAAGGCATCAGTATCATATATATCCGTCCTGAATGTAATGTATTGACTCGATCAAAAATGTAATATACATTTGTTGAAATAATAACGTCATAATGAACTAATGAGTCAAACAATATTGGTAATGAATCTAAAATTGAATTGTTATTATCAGCTTATTAACTATTATTGATTAGTAATTAATTGATAAATTATATAAATTGAAAGTTTTACCTATTATAAAACATTTTATATAAACGCAAATAAGTTTGTATTTCTTATTATTGTTAGTATTTTCTAATATTGGTACCATTATATTATATTATATATTTATATTTAAAGAATACGACTGCGCAGTACGTGGGATTTCTGGACATTAACTCTTCATTAGAGAATTATATATTCAGTTTGATAATATCTCGTTGGATATAGGTACACTTAAAACTAAACGTTTGTAATACCTTTAATTGAAAAAAATTTTATCTTTAAAATTTCTTCCTCAAGCGAATATTCTTCATGATAATTTAGAATCATTAAAGAGAATTACTTATCATTAAATCCTCATCTCTCCTTCTCTCTCTCTCTCTCTCTTTGTTATTCTCCCCCAATTATTTCTTTAAGAGGTAAAGGTAGAACTGCACACGAATATAACTCAATTTAGTTCGTTTAGAATATCTAATATAATTACCATTGTTCTGCTGTACGTTTTTTTGCTATGTATAGAAAGTAGCAAACAGATAAGTCAAGAGATAAGTTTGTAAAAAAAAGGAAACTGATAATTAGGCATCAATTTATTTATTCTGAGCTTAAGTCCGATATCTTTATCACTTTGCGAGTTACTTTACGAGTATATGTTAGACCATCAACAAAAAATTATAGGATGTCTATACAAATAATGAGTTGTATTTCGATTTGCTGTTATATTACGCAATACATTGATAAATCCATATTTACGTAAGAGGGGATGGATTACGTGGGGTTGCAATTGAAGAAACTATTAGTACTCTTTCAGTTCTTTTTCACAAACCATAGTGTTGGGTAAATGTATCGATGCTGATCTTTATTTTCTCGCGATTTCAATACTGTATACGAATGATAGTCACAAGTACCGTCAGTCCGGTGTTGAAAATCGGTCTTCAATTGCTTGGTGTGTGGCCGGGTGTGTCCATTCCCTATTGGCTAATTTATATATGTAGCATACTGATTGTACAATACTTTCAGTATCGATACATATATGAGCACTTCAAGATCAGTGAGCTTTCGAATCTCGTCGATAGCTTACCCGCGTCTTTAGATTACAGCTTGACAATTTTTAAAGTAATTATTCTTTGGATACATCGTCGGTAAGATGTTGTGTCGCTGCGTTATCTTCATCCAATTTCGCTCCGTTTGTGACACAAAATTATAATAATAATACAAATTAGATATTAGTTTTTTTTTCATGTAACATATGTTGTTAATTAGATCTTCTATAAACGAAGCGTATCTTAATTCAATTAATGATTTATAGAGTTTCGAGTATCATCTTTATCTTAATATCTGTCCAATTAAAGTAATATATTACAGAGTCATTTATCAACTCTTGGCTGCTATGGACAATGATTGGCATGAATGCGTTGATACTGATCAACATTTGTATGTGATGACAATCAAAGCCAATACATCGCATTTTTATTCTAATGTTATGATTAGTGTTTATACAATTGCCGGGGTGTTTTATCTTTTAAGCGGTTACGTAGTTCGTTTTGTATATGAAATCGAAGATTACAATAATACCTTGCGGGAGTTTCCTATCAAGGTACATTTTCCTTTTGAAAATCAGCAATCGCCGATTTTTGAGCTGCTGGCCGTAATTTTATTTCTACATGTGCTGCTAAATACGAGCACAGTTTCTGTTTTAAACGCATTAATTTCTACATTAGTAAGTTTTACTTTATAAATTATTGTTTTCATTTCTCATAAAAATTATTTAACTATTCGTCATATCAGTAGACAGATCAGAACAAATACTTTTGAGGCTTTCATGGATATCTTCTTTAGAGGTGTCAAAGAGTGCGGATTATTGTGTCGTGATCCATTACTAATGCCAACGTTTCGTGAACCTTGCCATTCACTTTATCAGCGCGCTCTTCGCCTTGATGAAGTGAACGTCAAGGTTCACGAAACGTTGGCATTAGTAATAGATCACGATGCGACGACCAGTAAACCCTTTGACACCTCAAAACAATATTTATAATTCTTAACATATACAGAAAAAGTATTACGGTTGTCACAACCGGAAATAACGATAATTTTCGTTTATCAATACATTTGTTGACAACCGTAAGATGGACATTATTACAATCATATAACCGTTAAGCTATGCCAATCTTATGATTATTAATCGTACTATAATTCTTATAACAAAAAAATGTATTGATGGGCGACTTTTGGTCATGACAACTGTAGTTGTTTTTTCCGTATACGCTGTAATATGTAAAATTTATATACGATTATGACGTGTTATACAAATTTAATTTAGTACAATAAGATTTTATGTTACTGTCAAAGAAATTTAATAATTATAATTGTTAAGTGCCGCGTCGGTCATCAGTGACCAACAATGACTTTTCTGTTCAAACCGCATTAGTCACGGATGATCGACGACACAAAATTTAATATCCTTATACTATAATAAAAATTGAAAAGCTTTAGCATTAGAAAAAAGAAAATACAGTTGAATATGGCGTAAATGGAATAATAAATAAAATAATCTCGGCGCTTAACGTGTTAATTGGATATTACTGATAAGTGCACTGCGTTTTATACTGTCTTTATACCGAACAATTTTTCATAAAAATATACGATGTATATGATACTTCTCATATTTGGAAACTTTACAGAAATTTACATATATACTTTAGGTGCTTCATGTAAGTGGACAAATTGATATATTATGTCAAGAATTCAAAAGTATTTCTGCGAAAGCTCTTCCTGATAAGACTTCCACATCTACATTAGGTATATTGATTGAGAGACACAACAGAGTCTTTTGGTTTTCTGACAACATCGAAAAACTTTTCTCCTTTATTGCCTTGATGCAAGTTATTTGGAATACTCTAGTTATTTGCAGCCTAGGATTTATTATTATAATTGTGAGTACAGCAATAAATTTATTGTGATTAATATTGCAATTAATGTATATATTTGATGGTCTTATTATTTATCAATATAGTCGTTTTACATTGAGACTGGTGTCACAACAATATTGAAATCTATTTTTGCTTATCTTGCTATAATATTAGAAGTTTTTATCTTATGTTTTGCTGGAGAATATCTCAATCTGAAGGTTAGTAAATATTTGAAAATTATTAACTGGAAGTGTATACATCATACTTAATGCAATATGATATTACATAAGCAAAATGCTTATAAAATAAAGATGTTACAACATTTATAACATAATAACAAATAGACATTTCTCTAATGTAAAGTAATAGAAAAGAGTAATGTGCTTATTGCAAATACTAGAATTCTTTTATTTTGAAAACAGAACTTTAATAGCACAATTTAGTGGCAATACATTAGTTAAACATTGACACGTATCGGGTATATATTGGGAATATGTCATGACAATACTACATCAATACTAAAAGTAACTGAATTTTTATAATATATTATCATATTTTATTTTTATATTTTAAATGTCTTATAATACTACTTCATAATATATAGACTTGTTACTATTTTTTCAATAAGCGATATAAATTTAATTATTTTATTTCAATTTAAAAAAATTTTTATATAACAATAAAAGATTAGAAAAATTTTCGTTATTTTTATTATAAATAAAATCTTTGAACAATATTTTATTTAATAAAAAAAATTATGAGAAATATTATATTATAATCTTTTATATCTTTTGCGTTGTTTTCAGAGTAAAACAATCGCTGATGCAGCATACGGATCATTTTGGTATGATTTACCGTTAAATCAAAAGAGAATTTTGACGTTCATAATAATGAGATCTCAAAAACAACTTATCCTCACGGCAGGAAGAATCACAAGTTTATCTTTAACCACATTTACGAGTGTAAGTTTTTGGAATATCTTTCTGAACAGTTAAATAAAACGTTTGACATTCCATAAAATATATACACTGAAGAACAAAAATGAGGTCCTTTTTTGGAGTAGATAGGTGTAGATAAGCACGTCATTCCACATATTACAACTCACAGATGTGCAGACGCACTTATCTACACCTATCTACTTCAAAGAAGGACCTCAGTTTTGCTCCTCACTGTACGTACATATGTTTGTAAATTAATTTTTTAAATTTCTTTTAGGTCATAAAAGCTTCAGCATCGTACGTATCTGTCTTACATGCAATGTATTAATATTAACGATAATTAATTTAATGAAATCGTACAGTGTCATTAGTTTTAAATATTAATATAGAGATATTGTTAATAATAATTACTTCGGTACTTACTTCTTAGTCGATTGCATAATTTGTTTTATTTTTCTAATTAAAGATTACAATTTTATTTTATAGCAGTTTCTTTTTATAAAAATATAATTTCCTTTTGAAACTCAATAATTGCTGATATATGAGTATTTTGTTGTAACAATATTTTAAAGTTAAGACTATATGCCTGCACATGTATATTTTAAATGGATTGATTTTCACTTTAGTAACTCATTAATATTTTACATATATATTTTTATTTTTTATTAACCTTTGAACGCAGTAGCATAACACGTAGTAGCATAATACGCTCGATTTTTTCCAATGCTTTTTCAATGCTTTTTCCATTGCATATAATTTTTATTTATAAAAATATATATATTTGCTTGGTACCATTATATTCCTTAATTCTGTTAATTCGATCGAAAAAGATTCTTTACAATGTTTAATATTTATTAAATATGATGTTGACATTTCTATAATAACAACACACACATCGCTGAAATCTCAAAATATTCGTCAATTATTTCATTACAAATATGTAAATTTTCATATTCTAAAAATAGCTATTAGCATAAAGATTTCAAATTTCATTAAAATCTTCACTATTTTTTCTTTGACGT